ATAACAAGGTAATTTACGAATAATATCCTTTGATTGATGACCACCTGACAAAGTAACACCGAGGTTTATTATACTGTAAAAAAACCAAATATAATTAACTATAGCTACCAAAGTTATATTGTAAAATATTTTTAAGATAACCATCCAGCTCTTGTAGAAAACATTATATTAAATATTAGTTATAAATAAATAAAATTTAATTATTGTAGAAATCTATATCACTTTCAAAAAAATAGGAGAATATTTTATTGAGATTAATATATGGGCCAAAATTTTTAATATTACAAATATAATAAAATTTTTATTAAAGATTACCAATATGAATAATGAATGTTTTACATATAAATACGAACCAAATTTTAGATATCAAAATTTTCCTCATAAGATATAATTTTAAATTCTATTTTTAATTTTCATTTATTTATTTAGAACTGAGCATTGATAATAGAGTAATGATATTATATTTAATATACAGTTTGAATCTCTTTAAAGAAACTCATTTTGATGGAAACTATTAATAGATTATTAATAAACTTATATAAAAAAATAGAGATAAGATTAAGTGGATTGAGAGATATGAGTAAAATCAAGTGATGAAGAATCGGAGTATTAAATTTGCGGGATTAGTCGGTGACCAGTTTTTTTCTGAAAGGTTGTAATTAAGATTAGGGTAAGGTTAAAAAAATTGTCGTATATAGTAGGCTTAATAGACATTAAAGATCTTGAAATCGCATGCCCAAAAGCCCGGCCTGTGAACCAGGCAAAGATTTGAGCCAGATCTGACTGGGCAGTTTGTAGATAAAAATAGACCACCTGGACAATTTATGCATAAAAAATCTGATAGTGACTCACAAATATCTGTTTGATATATTTATTTGAATTTCAAGCTAATATTTTGATAATGATTAATATTACTTGAAAAATTTTTATTAATCTTTACCATATTTAGAAACACCGTCTAAAGTGTAGGATTATAAAATAATTAGTCCAATATTAAATTTTAAATTCTAAAATTAATTATAATCTAAAACGAAAAGGGTTTACAGGAGCACCATAAGAGCAGAATCTAAATAGGAGCATTGGCTATTTTTCTCCTTTAAATTAGGTATCTATAGCAGGAAAAAATATTTAGTTTAATTTTTATTTTAAAAAAATAGATAATCAAAACTTAACAATTTAATTTATATTATATTACTAACAATTTACTATGTTTTTTAACAATAAAAAAATGACTTTTAATAGTTTTATCCTCCTAAAAATATATAAAATTTCCTCCTATGTTTCAGTTGGTATGAGGGTGTTTTTTTATTTTTGAAGAATCTAATCGGAAATAACAAATTTCAAACAATTTTGCCATGATATTTTAAGCATAACATATTAAATTTTTTTATAAAAGTTATTATATAAATTAAAAATAACTCAAAGGTTGATGTCAAAATTGTCAAGTATTCATAGGGTAGGTATTATAAAGATTCTAGCGGTAAGGAATCATATACTTTAGTATCACAATAATCGACTTAAAGATTAATATTTAAGTTAAAAATAACGTATTTTAATGAGATGCACATTCTACATAATATTAGCAAAAAAGTTTTACACACAATAATTTATCAGCTTAAAAGTGACTTCTAAATTTATACATTTTTTTTATAATTGTTTTTTAGACTAAATATAAAAATGATCTCTATTTTAACAAGTATAAGAATATTGATAATATTTATGCTCCATAATTAATTTTAGAAAAAATGTGAAACCCTTTTAGCTGCATCTTAGCATTTTTCTAAGTAGACTAATTAATTTTTTTTTCAAAAAATCCAACTACTATAACCTTAGGAATACAAAACGAATAACCTGGGCTATTACATAAGATGGATGACTTGCATTTTTTATAAATAATTACAGTTTTTTAAGTTAAATATTTGCCGTTGCGTACCCAACCTTATTCAACATGTATAATATCTTAAAAATTGTCTGAAATATATAATGAGAAGTGCACCCGGTTTCACGGCAAAATCAGATATTTCAAATTTTAAAAAAATCTTTTAAATAAATTATTAAAAGTTCGAAAATAGCATATTATAAGTGAAAATTTAAAAAAATCGGATTTTACTGAAAATGTATTAGTGTAGAATTAATCAATCCTATAAATCTCAAATTATATATGACGTGGTTTAACATATAGCAATTTACTAAAAAAAAAGAAGGCTCTAATTTTTCAGAGGAACAAATTGTTCTCATTTCCGAAACAACCATTTATATATATAACGTTGAAACAGTTTAAATGCTGCAATTTTTTTTTACTTCATACTCATATCTAATTATCAGAGTTGTTAAAAGATACTTTTTAAATGGATCTAACAGATATAGATACATCGTCTAAAAATTTATCTAGATACAGATACAGCTTCTAAAAAGTTATCTTGATACAGATACAATTTAAAATGTATCTATATACAGTTTTTTATTATACTCTTAGATAAGGTTTGAATAAACCTAAATTAGGATTCTATTGCAAAAATTTATGAAATGATTTAAAAAATTTATTGACTCGATATCACATTTATCAAAATATAACTAAAATAATGATTTTTAGATATTATATGATTAATATGAATAATTATTATATATCAATATCATTAATAAAATAATATAATATGATTAAATGATTATAAATAATTATTAGATTTCAGTAACAACCACTGCCTGTCGGCAAATTATATTTTTTTGTGGAGCTAATGTTTTGATCATTTTTATAAATGAAGGATTTTCAACAATTGAAAATGGCTGAATGCTATCTATAATTAAATCAGTTATTAAAGCATCTAAAGTGATTTGGGTTAAAGTCTGAGGTTTCTTGGAAAAAAAATCAATGAACGATGAGCCTAGTCCAATATTTTCTTTAATAGATTTTTTCTCCTTCTCCTTTTTTTTTTGGATTAAGAGTGTTTGATGTTTTCTCTTAAAATTTAAATTTTAAATTGTAAATATTTATTTAGTATCTATACCCTTAAATGTTTTACAATGTTGCAAGTTGAGGTAATGCTAATGGAAATTTGCATATTTTTTGGTAGACATGGCAAACATTTTACTAACAGAGATTTGTTTTCTTTATTTTGAGATATTATTTTAAAATATGGTCTATAAATTGGCCATGGAAGAATGTCGTCATTTTCGTTATCAATATTAATCTTAAAAATTAATATAATAATTAATATAATAGTATAGAATAAAATAAAATAAAATAAAATAAAATAAAATAAAATAAAATAAAATAAAATAAAATAAAATAAAATAAAATAAAATAAAATAAAATAAAATAAAATAAAATAAAATAAAATAAAATAAAATAAAATAAAATAAAATAAAATAAAATAAAATAAAATAAAATAAAATAAAATAAAATAAAATAAAATAAAATAAAATAAAATAAAATAAAATAAAATAAAATAAAATAAAATAAAATAAAATAAAATAAAATAAAATAAAATAAAATAAAATAAAATTAAATAAAATAAAATAAAATACCAATTCCATTGCAATTAAAAATGGCAAATTCCTTGAGATGGATTGTAATATCAGAATTTGCTTGTTATTGATAACTCGGACATAATATTTAATTAATATTTATATAATCTTTTTTATATAAAAGTTTAAAATATATAATTTTTTAATATTAATATTAAGTTATATGCTCATATGAAATAAAATAAATTTTACATTTAAGTATTTTTATTTATAATATAAAAAGCGTAGAAGTATATCAAAATTTATCTTAAAAAGTATCTAAAAACAGATACAGATACCTCTAAAATAATATCTAGATACAGATACTTTAATCAAAAATCTATCCAGATACAGATACCACATTTTTATATCTAGATACTTTAACAACTCTGCTAATTATATTATAATACAAAAAATAGTATGCCATTTTGAAAACATGGTTTTAAACATGGATTAAATAATATCTATTTTTGCGAATTAGATTTATTTAATAGCTTCTAAATTATAATTGTGATCTGTTCAAGTTTATTAATCATTTAAGCACATTATTCCAAAAAAATAATAGATTTAAAAATTTTAATTATATTTAATAGTATGAAGATCCTATTTGCTAATTATATAACGATAAAAATACCTTGATTTTTAGAAAGCAATAATATCAATGAATTTTATAATAACTTCACAATATATGATAGCTTATTTTTTATATGAAATTATTAACCATTTATAAAAAACAATAATATTATAAAATGTTTCATCAAAGAAAACATTTTTGAGATTATTATTTAGATTTTGAATTCATTATTTATTGAATATGTATTAAGTTGCTATGGATAAATGACGTGGGAATGTAATTATTAAAGAATATAATTGATAGAAAAATAAAAAGGATTTTTTTGGAGTAGAATTCTTTTAACTTAACTCAGATTAATCATAAATAAATTTTAACAAAGCTGAGAGAACCTAGTATATCAATCAAATCAAAAACAAATAATTTGTAAGTTAAAAAAGAAAGAATAAGGAGCTTAAACCATTAAGAGAAATCATGAATATGCGAAAATGCAAATAAAATCGAGAACTTTTAATTTCAAAGGATAATTTAGGACATTGTAAAATTTTTTCTGAAAACTTAATAAAAAATTAATTATGTCGAAACTGTATATATTTATTAATTTCTGACAATTTGTAATTACTAACATTGCTGATTACATAATTTAGCGTTTTCCAATTGTGTCACATTATTTTGATATAATAAATATAAAACATTAAAATGGCAAAATTTTTGATGAATTTTTTGAAGAGATTAAAAGAGATGAAATATGTTATCAGAGGATAAAATAGTATGATAATTATCGTATCTTCCAACAAATTAAATAAATGTACATTTATTACAAAAAATTTAAAAATATATGCATGATTATACTTATAAACTACTTTGGCATAAACTTTATCATTTTTACATTGATTAAATTAACTTTTAAAACATATAATATCAAGTCCCTTTAAAATTGCATTGTTTTCATGATTCTTCGCTTCCAGTTTTATCCATTGAAAATCTGAATAATAAATCCTAGAAAAAAAGATAAATTTTATCGAATTCAAAGCCTTGCAAGTTTGATAAATTGATATACTCAGGATCAGAGCTGGATTCCACCCCCTCTCCCTATTTCCATTCTCCTCCCATCATAAAAATATTTAATTTTTTGGTAATGGATATTAGTTAGGAAAATATCCATTATTGTGGTTTCGAATAATATCAAATTTTATATTTTTAATTTTATGAAAACAATAAATAATTTTCCAATAGTCATAAAAAAGCCATTTTTGAAACTTCTTTAAACATGTAAAAGCATTGGCGTAATAGAGGCAAGATAAAACTAACTATTGAGGCTATTTTATATTGTGGCTTGCAAGGCCTAGCACTTCGTAACCACAAGGATTCAGGAAGCTTAAATTATAATAATAATGATAACGAAGGTAATTTCCGTGGAATTTTAAAATTTAAAGCATTAGGAGATCCTGTATTAATGGAGAGCCTCATTAGTACCAATAAAAATGCTACTTATCTCAGCCCTAGGATATAAAATGAGATAATTGATATTTGCAACAATATCATTTTAGAAAAATTGAATGTTGAAATCAATTCTGCCCCATGCTTCTCAATTTTGGCAGATGAGACCACGGACATTGCTGGCATTGAGCAGATGTCGTTGTGTGCGCGATATGTAGATACTCATAAAAACATCTTCAAGGAAATGTTTCTCCAATTTATTCCTGTTTCAAGCATGACTGGGTCTGCTTTAGCTGATGTAATATTTGTGAATCTTAAAAATTAGTAATAATTAATCTTATTATATAATTATTTTAAAAAATATAGCTAAATATAAATTTAATATATGGGCAAGGGTATGATGGAGCACGTGCAATGAGTGGACAATTCAATGGGCTTCAGGCATTTATTTAAAAAAAATTCCCAACAGCTATATATGTCCACTGTGCTGCCCATTCACTCAACTTAGCAATATCGGATTCATGTTCTTTACCATTGATATCAAATTGCTTAGGTTTTTAAATATTAAATTAAATATTTTATATTTATATCAGGTAAAATATCTAGCATCTATGAAATGTTTAGATACCCCAAGCGTCAAAATATTTTGAACAGAATTACATCTGAAACTCCTTGCCCAACAAGGAGAAAAAAATTGCAAAAAGCTTGTCCAACAAGATGGAGTCTTCGACATCGAGCAGTAACAGCTTTTATCGTTAGAAGAGCCGATTATTAATGCTCTTATAGAATTATCACAATGTCTGAAAAATATATTTCTTCAGAAGCAAGCATGTTACTGGATTCAATACTTATGCCGAATTTTTTTTTCGCATTAGAATGTATTAATAAATTATTTAATTATACAACTATTTTATGTAATACTTTTCAAAAACCTGATATTGATTTGATTGAGATGATGAGAATAGCAGAGACAATTTTATTAGAACTCAAAGAAATTAGAGCTAATGCTGATGAGGAATTGCATATTTTATATGTTAATGTTGAATCAAAAGCAGAGCTTTACGAGTTCAATATTTGTCTCCCTCGACTTACAATAAGGCAAACTTATCGTCCAAATATTAATATAGGGTCAATAGAAGAATATTATAAAATAAATGTCTTTAAACCTCTTTTGAATACATTTATCCAAGTAAATGAAAGGTTTTTAATTTATTAAGAAACACTTATCAATCTGCAGATATTACTTCCGCAAAAGCCCTCTGAACCTTTTTCAGATAGTGATAGAAAAAAAATAAAATATTTGGAAGATTTTTATCATGAAGACATTAATGTATCTCATGATGCTTTATTAGCTGAATGCCAACTATGGTATAAAAGATTAACTATGGTTGATATAGTCCCAAAAAATGCTATGATGCTTTGCATCATTTCAAACATCTTTTAGATTATTTCCCCAATATATTGAAATTATTACATATATTAGCAACTCTTCACATTAGTACTGCAATGAGAGAACATTCTCTTCTTTAAGAAGATTAAAAACGTACCTAAGAAGTACAACTTCTGAAAGTAGGTTGAATGGTCTGGCCCTATTGAATATTCATAGGCATTTGACGCCAAACACGGATGAGATAATTGAAAAATTAGCTCCCTCCCAACGAAGATTGGATTTTACATAATAAAAATATAATGTTTCTATAATATTTTTTGTGCTATCATTTTTTAATGTCTTATATATTTTTCTTTTACATAAAAAATATAATTATTCATATTTCCAACATTTAGATTTTTTATACTTTATATATAAATTTAAAAGCTCAAAAAAATTTAAATTTCTATTATGGATTATTTATTTTATAGTCATCATATCCTGGTTATATCCACTTAATATTTTATAATTCAGATTTATTTAAAGTATTTATATGCCGCCGGTTATATTCGTTTAATATTTTTTAAATCAAATTTATTTTTATATATCGTTTTATATATTTAATTTTTTTAATTCATATTAATTTAAATTTGTATATTAGAAATAGTTATTAGTCCTAATAAATTTATGCTTGATATTTTTAAATAAAAATAATTTTATTTATAAAAATTTTAATTATCCCCTTTTAATTATCCCCTTTTAATTATCCCCTTTTAATTATCCCCTTTTAATTACCCCCCCCCCCCCCCACACCAAATTCCTGCGTACGCTACTGTGTAAAAGCAAAAAAGTATCAACTACATTTTTATTTATTTTATCAACAGGTAATTTTTATCACTTTTAGCCAGCAATAATAGTAAACTTAAGCAGTTTCTAGATCATGTTCACCAAACATCTTTTGTTATTTGATTAATTATGATCACTATCTTTCCTTGTAAAAATAAATTTTAAAAATAATATCTAAATTTTAATTACATTCAAACACTATTGTTAGGCCATATCCAGATAGAATGTTTTTTCAAAGTGGTTTTTTGGTAATGTTACCAGCAATCAATTTTTTATTTAAAAATATGTTAACTTCTTGAATTAATTTTTTTTATATAATTAATATTTTATTTTAAAAAAAACAATCTCTTATTCCTCTCAAGTGAAAATCTAAGCCTACGGCCAATATATTACATAATAAATAAAAAATAATTAATATTATAATAATTTACATCTTCGAGTAATTTTTCAGGAGTCTTTGGGACTTCTTTTTCTTGGCCTGCTAAATTCGACTCCAAATTTAATATCCTGTCTAATTTTAAATAATATGAGTTATGTTATAATGTTCGTGTAAATGCAAATTTATAAATATCTGTATTATTAAAATATAATCAGTGATCCAAATTATTATAATTGGCATTTATATTAAACCCAAACCAAATATGACTAAAATAAGCTTTTTAGGATAAAACTAAAAATAATTATGTATAAATTTTTGAATATTTAAAATAAAAAATATATATAGCGAATTATATATTTTACAGAAAACTATAAAACATTGATAAGGACATCAGAAAATAGCTTTTAAAGTGGGATGAATAATATAAAGATTAATTTTTAATATATTTTACTTAAAATAAATAGATGGCGTTAAATAATTGAATGCAAATCGTTGCTATATTTATTATCAAGAGAATTGATTAGTAAAATTTGTTAAAATATTAACTGTAATATATTCTCTAACTGTCAAATATGTCTGTAAAAGTGGAATTTTACCTAGTATTTTGTAACCAATTCTATATAATGGAGGAATATCAAGTATAGGTCTACTTACTTTTTATAATAAATTTCCTATACTTGTTTAGAATAAATTATTATTATGCTTTTATATTAATGTATGTACAAGTATTTATTATATTTTATATAAACTAATAAAAATATATTTCATATTTGTTCCAGGCTTATATTTTTTATTAAAATTAACCACCTATCTTGTAAAAATATTTTATGACTATATATAGACTAATGAATAACCCAGAAATTTTTTAATTTCCCCTCCCCCCCCCCTCCCCCCTTAGAAAAATATTGGCTATGCCTTTGATATAATGATATATACTATAATAACCAAGCCAATTTTAATATGCGTCCCAAAATTTATGAATCTTTTGATAATATTTCTTAATTACATGTTTTACTATGAATTCGACAGTCGAAAACCAAGCACAGATTAAATTACATATACAATTTATAAGATTCGCCTCATATTTTGCTACCACATACTTATGATTATCCTCAAATAATATCATATTTAAATATTTTATATTCATATTATAAGGGTTGTAAGTAACCCAAATTCAACAACCCTGCTTTGGTAATCATCCTTTCAATATTACCAATATAAATTTTATTAAAAAACGCGTCATTAATATTGACTTGCTGCTAATCATCTTTTAGCTAAAGTCCATTGCCTTTTTTGTTTTCTTATAAAGAGTCAGAAGATTGCGAATTCTGAAGAGTTGGATTTTGAACCTCAAAAATTATAAAATTCTAATCATACATGAATATAGTAAATAAAGCAAACATAAATACGGTTATTCTCAACTGCGTAACATTATGACTATTTATTTTTTATCTGGGTTCTATTAACGATTTACATATCTCTTCGAATTGTTCATTCACATCAATCAATTATTCGCTTTTTATATTTCTGATCAATTGTGAATTTAATATAATTTTTCAGCTTTTGGAGGATAAAATTAAGATAATCACTTAATGTGGTGAGGTAAACTTTAGAAATAGGAATAAGGGCAAAGAAATATCAAACATTATAATGGCTATTTTTGTAATTTAATATTCCGAGATTATTTAATTAAGAAAAATAACTATAAAATTATTTTAATTATAGGATTAAAATTATAAATAATATAATCTGATAAAATGTTTATGTATAATAACTTGATTCAAAAATTAAAGGGTAGTTGGATAATAAATGGGCTTGAGTACTATAGTATGTAAAAAAAAGCCTAAAAATTTGTATTTTTTAATGTGAAAAATAGGAATCAAAGCTTTAAAAAAACAATAATAAATTATTCAAAAATTTTTTAAAAAAAATGGAGAAGTTTTTTCTATCCCAATATATTATATATATATATATAACTATTACCCTTTTCAGATTCAGCCTTATCCGGAATTTTCGAGATATCGTGTTCATTTACGGTTTCTCTTAAAAAAAGTGTAAGAATGCGATATTTTATAAAGTATAAATAATATAACTTTCGTAAAATATTTCTAGATTTTTAAACCAAATTTCAAGATTAGCCACATTTAAACATATTATACACATTGTATAATAATCATTAACTTATCAATTTGGATATTATAATCAAACGTTCCCTCTTATCGATAAACGAGGTGGATAGCAAACTTTTAAAAGATTTGTGAAATATTTCCTATATGCTTACTTAAAAAAATATAATTTCATTCCATTATATAAAATTGTTCCTTATTCTTCACAAAACTAAATTATGAGAGAGAATTTTTTTTGCCTCTCTATTATAAAATTGAAATTTGAATCGAAATAAATCATCTCCGATACTTTGATCAATAAATAAATTAAAATTAAAAAAGAAAGTTTATCAGTAAATATTCAAATAAAGTAACCCATGACCGGAAAAAAAAAATTAAAAATAATATGAATTATTTAAAATTTGTTATCATTTTTTTTTAGAAATAGTTTTCTATTAAATATAACATCATTAAATAAAAATTAATAGTTTTTCGTCGATAGCTCAAATTTGTTTAAATTCAATTTTTTTTAGTTATAATCATTTTTCGATTTCTAACTATCCAGTATACAAAAGCTAATAGATTAGAATTGATTTATTATATTTTTATAATAATCTATAAATTAAACGTATGATCGGAAATTCCCATGCAGAAGTGAATGTATACCATTTTTTTCTCTTACCTTGAAGAGAGAGAGTAATTATGTCAGTCTTAGAAAACATAATTATTTATCACCCATCTTTTTCGCTTACGCTTAGGGGACCGAAGTGAGGATTCAGTCTCTTAGATTTGCCATTTTTAATAAAAAAAATATTTCATTCCATTTTTTTAAAGAAAATGAGAAATAGAATGTTCATAAATCCCGTATTTACTCAAAGTTATGGATCCGTGTGTAAGTTCATTTCCCATCAATTTACATGTGTTGCAATTTTTTTTAAATCTATTTACATAAATATTTATAAGAATTTATGATCCATCTCAATCTATGGTTCACTATCGATTATGATTCATTATCATTTGCGATCAAAGGTAAACTATAGTAAAAATGTTATAAAGATCATATCATAATCTTTTTCGCTAAAATAAAATTTATTCTAGAATCTAACCGAAGAGTATATCAAATTCAAAATAAAGACTCTTCAAAACCTAAAGTAAAGCAAATGTTTCAAATTTTTGAGTTTTTACGGTTGCTGAACCTTATCATCATCATGACTTGATATTTTTTATGCAAATTTGCTACTACATTTTAAAATAGACTCGTCAATTCAAATAGCAAGTAAAAATAACTATACTATTTGGACTTCAAGTATTTCGCCCTCATTCTTACATTGCACAGCCTAAATAAATAATAGACATTTAACTCTTTTCCCAAACAATGGAAATGATTGAAAAGCATTTCATGCACATTTATATATAGATAGCCCTACCCGGTTTAAAATTCCTGCCGGCGGGAATTGTTCTTACTAATTGAATATGCTTATAATTGATAATTGGACTTTACATATTTTCCTTCTCAAAAAATAATTTCCCAACCCGGACCACTTATATAAGAGGTATTTTGTGGTTCGGATAAAATTTATTTTGATCCAAGAAAAACCCGATCGATAAATTTTTTAAAATTAATTCGGGCTAGGTCAAGCTCTAATAAAATAAAATTAAACTGATTTTAAAAGTTAAAATTTAATATGTTATCAGTCCATAAGTAATCATAAAAAGGTGTAATAATTTCTATATTCTTATAATATATACCTATTTTTCGTCGTTTTTTCACTTTCAATATCAGTATGAACTTTAAAATGATGTTTTATTGGAATGACATCAGTAAATAAAAATGCTGATTCTTTTAATTTAATGCTATAATTGGTATAATTTAGTTTGAACTAGTAAAATTAATTATACATGAGTTTTGCAGCAGAACCTTCAAATGGCTTAAAAATTTTAAATTTTTTAGTGGCCTGATTATATGGAAGTTGAGGTAGTTCTTTATCCCAGAAATTATCCTTCACTAATGGTGGGCATACTTGGTGCATTTCATCAATCAAGATATAAGATATCTAAAGTAATACAATACGAAATTTTTTTATTTATATTTACGTAAAGATTTCTATCTATTAACCAGTTAATAGGAAAATCATCGTCATCCTCGCCCATAGGATTTAAACATACTTCAGCTGCCTAATTTTTTGTTTATTTAAAAAATTGATTAATTTTATCATTTTAAAAATATTTCCATTTTTATAATTAAATTATACATTATAAATAAACTTTACTAATAATTTTTTTAATTAATCAAAGTTGAATCCAATAATTTTTAATTTAAATAAAATTAATTATTATCTTTCATGCCTTGCATATTAAATACTTTTACATTTATTGTGAAAATTAACATCTAACATCTATATATGGTAATATAATCAAAATTGATATATGATTTTACTATTTTAGCAAACCTACATTTTCTAGAGGATTTGTCACATACTATTATGGAATCCAAATGTAATTTTCGTTTTATTTATATCAGAATTCAAAAATGATTTGGCGAAGAATGAAAATGTACCCGCGTTAAATATATTTTAAACTTTCTAATAGTTTTTAGTAATTATTGTGTAAAAAGAAAAAGAATTTTTTAATCTCTTAGGTCTTTAGAAAATTATTACCCTTATATCGAAACACCGGGAATATATTTTTATTTTTCAATCAATACAATTTATATTCTAATAATAAATAAAATATATTATATAATTTTTAAATATGATATATTTTAAAAAAGATTTCATGATATTAACACCACATTTAAGGTCTACCTTCATACTTTTTTTTAGCTTAATGTAGATTCGACTTTCGGATATCTCTGTGACCTAATTTATTTAAAGATTATGGTCACCCTCTTCTAACGGCATCTTTCCATATTTTAAGCAATAAAATATAATTGTAAAATTTATGAATAAAAAATTCATATCATACATGAAAAGACGATTTTCTAATCGTTAGATTGAAGATATTGTGGAAATTAAATTCTGCACGCAAAACTTATAGATCAGAAATATTTAATTTATTAGCTTTGATTACTACTAAGGAAAATATTATAAATAAATGCTAATAAATGATGTATTTTATTGAAATGTATTGTATTTCGTATATGAATTAGAATAAAATAAAGTATTAATTCGAATTATGGTTTAGAATCCTTTTTTTTACAGTTTTATTAGTCAAAATTTTATCTTAACCCCATCCCCTCCTTCAAAAACAAAATTGGCTAATTGAAACATGTTTATTAGTGTATAGGCTTTTGTATATGATCGAGATTACTATGTAAAAATAAATTGAATATCAGAAATATTTCAGAAGCCAGAGTTTATATAATACCGCCGACCACATTAACTTTATAGTAATTTTACTCAGAGATTAAATATTTGCTCACTATAAACGAATATTTACCACTATCGTGGTCTTACATTAAACAATATTATTCACCAGAATATTAAAATTTTGTTCAATATATATAAAGCTATTTATACTTTAAGCCAGCCGATATAAATTGTGAAATGCAATAATGTTCGAAAAGGAGCACTGTAGTCAATTATATTTTGCGTCATCATGACTGTAGTATCATCGTCATTATTCATTTCAGAAACACCTGGTATCATAAATGTCTGTCTCCCAAACAAACACAATATGCAAAAGGAATAAACTCCCATCATCACAACCTATAAATTAGCATTAATATGGATTTAAATTTTGTAAATAGCTGCCTCCCATTTATAAATTTTTAATATATATTTTTAAAACTACATTGTAAAGCAGTAAAGATATTATAAAAATTATCGTATTTCTGCATCTGTATACTATACCGTCTCAATAAAAACGACCACCTTATTAATTTTATTGAATCATTATTACTAAAATAAAAAAAAATAGGCTTTATTATTTTTATGAGCTTATAATCTTTTATATATATAAAATACTATTTAAAATATTTTGTTCGATCAGTTATAAAAAAATTAAAATTTGTACGTGATTTAATATAATATAAAAAAAAGGATTCTATTTAATAGGTCAAAATTAAAACTGAAATGCTTATAAAACGTAATCATTAAACTCTCAGAATAAATATTTAAGGCTCAGAAAAAATACTGAATGTTAAGAATTATTCCTTACATCTGAAAATAACTTAATTTTTAAGAAAAAATACTAATTATTTAGTTATAAAACGAGAAGGATAATGAATCGCTCAGTAATATATATGAAACGGTCCGAAAATCGTTAAAGATTTGAAGAAAATATCTATGAATTTTAGATTATTTTGAGCTTGAACTATTTTTTTTTTATTTCTGAGCAATTCAAGAAAAAAAATTTTGAGTTTTACGGATTATATTAAAATATTAAATCCTATTTAGGTATTAATTTATTAAATATTTCGAAATGGTCTCCTCATAATTGAAATAAACATTAATATTTTTTGAACAAAATTAACACAACGTCAGAAAGTTCAATTATTCGATTTCCTTTGCCAATTTATAAAATCTATTTTAAAAAGGATAACTCATAAATAAAAAGAAGATCAATATTTCATAGGCCTGACTTCAATATATATTTAAACATTTAAAAATAAATTATTATTTCTAATAGTATCGTGTTTAATTGATAAGAGAGAATACATTAGGTATGTAAAATGTCCAATTCGTCGATTTTTAAAGATGACCCTATTAAGACTCTGGCCAAAATAATATTATGTAAGCCAGGAGATTTTTTTGTCGATAACATAAAGGTTTGGATCTATATTTGCCAAATCTCAAGGCTTACATAGAATTATTTTGGCTAAAACTTTAATCGGGTCGTTTTTTTAAAAAAGGTCCGGCTTTTAAATCACTAGGATGAAAATAAAAAACAAAAACACTGGTAAATTGAAATTTTAAACTTACAATTTCAACTATGGTCTTTATCCACAATAACAAAAATTATTTTATTTTTTTCCATTTACTAAGACTTACCTAGATGATTTAATAATTAATTTTGTAACGAAGACTATTTACAATAGTTAAAGTTTTTGTTTAGAAGCAACTAGGATAAACTAAAAAATGTGAGATCACAATTATCTACAAAAAAATGTTATAATCTTTTTATTTCAATATGATACATTTTGCACAATCGATTGCGAGTGAATAATTTTAATTTTTTTAGAAGATACTTGATATATTTTTTTTCAAAGACAATTAAGTTACACTAATTATATAACTATATTTAAACTCTACTAATTTGTGAACTGAGTTTAAGACTAAAAGACAATATAATTGCGTTTAGGCTTAATTCAATAAAAATATATATTATATTTTAGATTAATATTAGCTATGAAAAATAGGCAAATTTTGAACCTATTTTTTAAATGCACATATATAATATTCAATTATATACTTGTGTGTAAACTAATGGAAAGCTTATCCAATCCTGCCCCATTAATCTTCCTAAATTTCCTCTCAATTTCATTAGCTCCTAAATAATTTATATTTAGTAATATTATGAATGTAGAAACTTTTATTAGCCCTGTTGAGCTATATTGATCTCTTATGTAACCCTCGGAACGCGCTTTACTAACTAATGCTATTGACCATATTAAAGTAGTCCACCACACGTCTCCTGGAGCAAATGTTTGCAATATCTTTTTTTCGTTTTCAATTAAGATGCCTGTATTAGAGGTTTGTATATTTTAAACACTTTTGAAGAAAACAAAATTTACAAAGAGAAAATATATAAGCTAATTATACAAATAAGGTTCATTTTTATAACAATTAAAATCGAAATGTAAAAACTAATCCTAATCTTGCCTGGGCCTAGTTGTAAAAAAGAAATTAAATAATAATTATTAATTTTTTATACAATTGAGAATTATGGGAATGATGTAAATAATGAGGGTATCAAAGGGAAAGTTCAATAAATAAATAAATGTTATTAATATTCTCTAAATAATTCTGTTAATTATAAAATATTCGATATTTATAGAGATTTTATGGATTCCAGGAAATTATTTTAACTTTCGATTAAATGAAAAGATTATATAAATAAAATAATTGAACCTAAACACTTATTAAATTAATTTAAATAATAAGAAAAGGGATATATCAATGTTTAAAGATAATCCAGATATCACTCACCGATTTATCATAATTTAGTTTAAAGATCAAAATGTGCTATCATTTAAATTATCATTATATTTTTTATCATAAATGTTAATTCTGGCTCCGTATGTTTTACTGCTTTATAATACACAAATCAAGTTATTTCATAAGTTCCTTTTTCAATCCTACCCTACTTAAGAAAAAATATATTTAAGTTAAAGCCTTGCATCTGATATCTGATTGTGAAGATAAACCTAGACCCATCTATGAACAGTTACTTTCATTATTATAAATTTGAAATGGATAACAGGATATAAAAATTTATGAAAATTGATTTTAAAACCTGAGGCCACTAAATGATCCAATGTAGGAAATCTTTTTTTTGTGGAAATCGCCAAATTTCTGAATACGTTTATAAATGTCAAATTAATATATCTCATTAATGTCCTCCTTATAAGTCTTGGTCTCTCTTCCGTGCCATGGATATGTGTGGATATTAAAAAGGCTTTATTTAATCGAGATATAATATTATATTAGTTATCGTAGATAAAATACCTAATCTATCGGGGTAAGGTATATTGCTGTAATATTTCCACCATCGATACAAGACAATATCCGTGTAAAATCCTAATATAAACGCAAGTGGAACGACATCTAATAATTTTTCTGCTTTTTCAGCTACCTCCATAAAAACTCTATTGTGTAACCGAATAAATATATATCAGGTGAGGCTATGTTGAATATTAAATTGGAAAAGTTTTAAAACTCTTGTAATATAGTTATGTTAAATTTTAAATTTTCTAAAATTATCTGGATATGTTTTGTTTATATTAAAACTTATTCCATTTTTTCGATAAAAATTTCAAGTTTGCGAATCAAATTTTATTTATATTTTGGAGCTTAATCAAAATTTTTCTTACTTATTTATATAAATCATTTATTTAAACTAAAATGTTATTATATTCTTTATTAGCATATTTAGTTTTGTCGGATAATAGCTAACTCAAGGAATGTTCACATGATATGTTTTGAATGATGAAATATAATTAATATAAAAATAGGTAAATAAAAGCAAGGAGTAGGATCTAAGGAAAAATATAGATTAATTAAAGGTTTGAGAGAAATGGCTTAGGGTATTATAAATTGATTTTTAATAAAATTTGAATATTACCTATTAAATCTGACCCATGTGATTATAAATAATATATAGAAATAAAAATAAATCAGCTTCTAAGTTAGATGAAATTTTTAATTTTAAATATAAACAAATTATAAATTTACCTCTGTTGGTTTTGGGATAATAGATTCACAAAAATAGCATATAAAAGCCCATATATTACTATAAAAAAGAACATACTTTTCCAGATCAGTGAGTACAAGCTACCTCTCCACCTATTTATTTTTTAATGTAAAAAACAAATTGCCATTTCTCTTTTAAATCAAAAAAAACCAATTTAAATTTTTAAATAAAATCTGGAGGACGCAACGATTGTAAATTTCGCATGTTATAAACAAGTTTATGAACCTATACTATGAAACTGGACTAAAGAGGCTCTGGTATTTTTAAAGTAAATTAATTTCAGCCAATTCCTAAAAATTTTAAAATATGGTTTTATATATCTTAAATTCCAACCCTGTTAAAGCAATTAATTAAAAATAATTTATAAGGATTTTAACTATAAATTACCCCTTCTCCCCTCCCGGTAATTTTAAAATGTCTGATTTAAGTTTCCATATATTTTTATACGAGGGTGCTATATTCTTGTTTCGATTCTAAGCTCTTTAGAAAGCGGTTTATATAATTTCAATTTATTATATTCTTAAAATTTAGGAACATAATTCTATAAACAATAAATTTTAATTACCAGATATCAAATTTCATAGGCTAAATAATATTTATAGATTAATTTTTATTTTTGTAACTATAGGTCCATTTGAAATTATTTAAGGTAATTAATTCTAATATTTAAAACCTATAAAATCATTGAAAATTAGAAAAGGGAAATTGGATAGGTTAGTTTCATGCCATTATTTATACAAGTCTTAGTTAACGCACTATATGTTTTAAATATATTAAACAGAAATAAAATTTTAAAACTAAGAATTTCTAGATAGTAAGATTTTTTTAGTATTTGTAACACTCGGCGGTTTTCATTCTTCCATTATAAGATAACTCTCTTTATCAGTCTTCATTCCATTTGATAAGAACTGGCCACGATTTTATTCACTATCGGCTTTAACTATTTATGACGTTTATGATGGATATATTTTGTTTAGCTTTAGGATTAAACATTTCGCACAAAGAGGGAAAGGATGGGCGAAATAAGGATTGCTGATTATGAGACAGATTCACATGTTGCCTTTTACAATTTAGGGTAGAGGTTCTCAATTTGGGGAGATAGTCGAAAAAATATATTCAAATAATAAAATATTCATTTAATAAATTTTTATATCAAAATATGTATTCAAATATAATATAAAGCTAAAAATATATATGGATTGTAAAAAAAAATTTACTTCCATAGTACTCGAAAAAATACTGAAAAATCGCTAGTTATAAAATCAGCTGAATAAGAAACAGTCATATGAAATAAGTTATCAGAATTAAAATTATTTATCGAATTAAATATTCTACTAAAATTAGAATTTTATATTTTTCCATTAACAAGATATAATTATAAAATTTCCAAAAAATTTAACTTAACGATTGAGAAATAATCTAACAGCGCCCTGAACATTCAAATTTGATATATTTTTTTACAAGCTAATATTTTGATTTTAATTAATAGTATTTGGAAATAAATTAAACCCAGTTGTGATTTATCCAAACCAAATGGTAAAAAAAATATTTTTATATGAACATTTAAAATTAAAATAAAACACTACAGTGCAACTAATAAATTTTTGTAAAACAAAAATTTTTGATGGTTTTTATTATATAATTACCAATAGTTTTAACCTATTTGTTTTTTATATTATATATCTCCTTTAACTTTTTAATAAAAGCAATTTTTTTTAATGTTTATTAATTGTTAAACAAAATGAATTGAAACATACGCAAATTCGGATGTGCTGGACAAAACTGCGTGTTTAATGGAAATGTTTTTTTGGTAATTTAAATCATATTAACTGTGAGTTAAATATTGTGTTAAATAAATTGAAAGAACATATGAAAAATGGTAATTCATTTGAACAGATATCTAATGGGTTTAATAAATGTTCCGTTTCATATAATTTCTTGAGTAAAATAATGAATTTGGAAAGCAGTTTAAAGGTAATTTTAAAATGAAATCAAAAATGGTGAACTAAATGTGATATGATCATCCATGTTTGTAAAAATCGGTTGTTATCTCAAAAGAGTTAAAGGAATTAAGGTTATAAGGATGTATATAAATAGAATAATAAATAATCTACCTAGCTGTCAAATATGTGGTAGAAAATTGATAATAAAAAAATTGTTTTTCAAAGGACAGAAACAGTGTCAATTTTAATTTTAAAGTAAATTAAATGAATAATGTATAATATTATTCTATATATTTTAATGGTCTTCTGTTTATAATTTTTATTATCTGTTTTTATATTGTTTAAATCTATTCTTAAAATCCCTACAGATAATATTATTTGTATCCGATGTGAATATAAAGGTTATAAAGATACAATTTGTATTTGAAAGAATATAAATTTTTGCTTTGGTGTTCCTTTAAGAAAGTCCCTACATGTGATTCAACTGTTGGGAAAATTTCAGAAATTATTTCCACAAACAAATTTGAATTATTAAAATCCGATGAAAATTATTCTAGCATTTGCTTTAAACTAATAAAAATGGTCATGTGGCCATAAAAATTATTAAATAAGTAAACTGACTATATAATTGCCGTTATGGTCATAAAAAATCTCGAGAGATCATTAAATTATAATAATAAATTTTTAGATAAATATCATGTTGTGAAAAATTCTATGGATAATATTGAATAAAAAAACAATTGTCAGATTAATGATAATTGTAAACCAAAAGTTAACTCTAATAAAAAGAGTTAAGATATAAATTTTTATTATCGTGTTGATACAATGAAAAATTTTAAATGTCCATATAATTTGAACAAAAGGAATTTTAAATGGGAGAAATAACCAATGCGTATTGTTAAGAAACATATTGATGATATTAAAATGCCTCTAAATTCTAAGTTGAATTTAGGCATGATTTTAGATTCTAATAAATTGGAATTTTAAATAGAATAAATATAAGTCAGCTTATTAAAACATATACAATTTTATGACTCAAAGAGGAGATGGACAGTGTCCTTGTCCTGAGATTAATTTAAGAACTGACCATATGTGCATTAAAATACAGCTGGACACTGAGGCTAACGTTTCCATTATGTCCCAAGAAAATTGTTATAAATATTGGTCTTATTGCACTCTTGAAGAAGAAAATATGTGGGTCCTCGCAATTACTGGTATCTTTTTACCATACATAATGAATTAGCAGCAGATAATGCCGAAAGAAAAATAACCGCGAATAGTATTAGAAATAAACTTCGGGAAATAGAAAAGACTTATTTATTGAACGAGGAAAAAATTCCATAAAAATCATATCCCCTACAATCAACAAATTAATGATAGAGCCGTGTTTTAGCTCCAAAATAAATGTTGAAATTAATAAAGATCAAATTATAGATTTTAAAATTAATGAGTTAAATATAGTTAATAATGTTATACCTGTTTTAGTAAAATTTATAATTTATACCTATCATATACCTTTAATCCATTTATTCAGAAAAGATAATAGCGAATTAAGGTTATCTCCCCTGGTTATTATTAGTGGGAAGTTTTAATGTAGATTGTGTTATCGGCGAGGTAAAGAAAGTTGATTACACGATATTTTATCCAGGTCGGGATCGATCGATAAAAATCTCAATATAATGAATAATAACATTGATAGGGAGAAAGCATTGGTTAGTTCTCTTTCTCATATATTGAAAGGTGGTCCTACTAATTGGGAAAACCTTAAACTCAATATGTTAAGGAATTGAGGGAAAACCTATTAAAAGAAATGGCTAAAGGCCCCATAGAATCTTAAATTTCAATTTATAGGAATGTAGACATATATTTCTAATCATTTATTTTTGAATTATTATGATTTTAATGTTACATTTCTTTTTTGATTCTTTTAACGTATTACATTTTATTACCCTATGCAATTTATATTTTTCGCGATATTACCTTTTTTTATTATCCTGAATTTTACTATTTAACAATAAAGCCACATTATTTTAGTTAACAAAATGCCTATTTTTTAATAAAACTCATTAAATAAATTTTTATATTTTATTAAATACTTGTGATTTTTGTGAGCACCTAAATTAAATAATTATTTGATATAATCTTTTAAACTATATGAAATTCAGAAATATTTATTATAGACCAAAACTGGCGGCCTAAGCCCACAAATATTTTTTAAAATTAGACACCTACCAAAAAATCTTAGCTATGGCACTGATTATATGTATACACCCCATGTCTTGCGTGAGGTAGTAAGGTAATAAAAGTGTAGATGAAATTAAGGGAATGGTAGAAAACATTGATGGGAATAGACAATGTAAAATGCTAATGTTCTGACGAATATATAAATATCCTTTAGAATCGCCCGTGAGAAACGTCATTTTTCTAGTAGCCCTTCAAAGGGAAAGTGCCTCGTAGCCAAAGTTTTGGTAGTTTGGTGTGACAACAGTAACAACTTTGTTTAACTCCGAATATTTGTTTTTTTTATATCGACCACCGAAAGAGGATTTTTCTGATGTTAGATTTAACGAATGTTTACTCAAGTGTAATCCCTAGTGAGAGGTATACACTTTACTGTGGAATTAAAATTAATCTATCTGCATCTGGCCTACATCGGAAATAGAGATTAAGAGCTTGAGGGTGCATAAGTTAGTTCTATCTAGAGCTTTGGATATTGTAATGTCAAATACTTATGCTTTAAAATTAATTTTGGTAAAAACCTCATTTCAATGGGCTGAAAATTCTCACTTATCTAAGAAGACAATTCTTTTTTTTACAATATTCCAACTACTATAACCTTAGGAATACCATAAATGAATAGTCTTGACCATGAATTTCATTATGAAGATAGATAACTTCATACTATTTTTATAAATAATGACAGTTTAAGTGAAATATTTGCCGTTGTGTATTACCCAACCTTAGTCAGCATGTGTAATATCCTAAAAATTGTCTGAAATATATATAGTGAGAACTGTACAAACGTTGGAAAACTTTCCCGGAAAAACCAGATTTTTCAAATTTAAAAAAAATTATCTGATAAATTAATTGTTTGGAAAATAGCTTAATAATCTGTTGAATGCGTTTTTAAAAAATCGAATTTTGCCTAAAATGTAAATTATAGTATTTGTAAAACTAATCTATCCTATAAATTTCGATTAATGATATATGATGCCATTTAACGTATAGTAATTTACTAAAAATACAAGGCTCTAATTTTATTAAAATGCAACCATTTTGAATTGATTAACCCTAATCCTCATCAATGTTATCTTTAATCCTAACCCTATGATTTCCATGGAGGTAGATTTCAGAGAATCAAAATGTTCTCCCTTCCAGAACAATGATTTATATATATCTTTGAAACATTTATGCAATATTCATAAATACAAAAAATAATGCGTTTTGAAAATATTGTTTAAAGATGTTATATATTATCGGATAAATGCGAAAGTTTTAAAATCACTTCTATATTAATATAGTGATTAAATAATATAGATTAGTTAGAGTCAAAAAATTTATTTTATCAAAATTTCTAAATTATATTGTGATCTGGTCAAGTTTATTTACACTTTAAGCACATCATTAAAAAAAAAATAAAAATTTGTAAATTATATTTAATTTAGTATGAAAATCTTATTTGCTATAAATATATAATGATAAAAATGCTTTGATATTTTAGAAAACTTTAATATCAATGAATTTTATAATAGCTTCACATTATATGATAGCATATTTATATATAAAATTATTGGCTACCTGTTACTTAAAAAATAATTATAAAATGATTAATCAAAAAAATTTTATTAAATTATTAGCAATTAAAGAGATAGATGATTTTTTATGTGATTTTGAACATGCCTATCTCACTCTCAAATTTGGATTAAGTTGCTATGGGAATTTAGATGACTAGGGAATGTAATCATTAAAGGATAAAATTGATAGAAAAAATAAAAAAAATTTAGAACAGAAACAGAGTAGGATTAAGTTTTAACTAAGATGAGAGAACCAAATTAAAACCAATTATTTCTAAATTAAAAAAGAAAGAATAAGGAATTTAAACCACAAATGTTATTAAAATGGTAAAAATAATTATATGAATATATATTAAAAGTTAAATAAAATTAAGAGAAATTATGAATAAATTAAATTATGGCATGAATAACAAATATCGAGAAAGAACCGAAAAAAGAAAGAAAGTAAGAAAGAAAGAAAAAGAAAGTAAGAAAGAAAGAAAAAGAAAGTAAGAAAGAAAGAAAAAGAAAGTAAGAAAGAAAGAAAAAGAAAGTAAGAAAGAAAGAAAAAGAAAGAAAGAAATGCAGAAAAAATCGCATATTTTTTCCAAACACTTCGCTTTTAAACAACTGTAAGTATAATTTACGACATTGTCAAACTTTTTCTGAAAAACAGATTTAAAAAACTAATTAAGTCTGAGACTCCATATATATACCCATAAAATTTTTTTGTAATAATGAACATTGATGGTTACATGATTTCGCGTTTTGCAATTATGTCCCATTATTTTGAAATAATGAATATAAAATATTAAATGGGGAATATTTTTGATAAATTTTTTGAAGATACCTAAAAGAAATTGTGTATAATATAAGAAGGTTGAATAGTAAAATAATTACTGTATCTTCCTACAAGACAACATAACATTTATTATAAAAAATTTAAAAACTTATACATGATAATTCTTATAAACTATTTGATATAAACTTTATCATTGATTAAATTAACTTTAAAAACATATTATATCAAGGTCCATTTAAAATAGTATTGTTTTTAAGATTTTTCGCTTCCAGTTTTATCCAAAGATCTAAATAATAAATCCTAGAAAATAAAGATGAATTTTATAAAAAATATTAAATACAAATATTTAGGTCCATAGTTCGATTCCATCTCTTCCCCTCTCCCCCATTTCTGTCCCTTCCCCTCCCAACAGAAAAATGTTTTTATTTTTTTGGGTAAAAATGAATAATTTTAGTTCGGAAAATATTCATTATTGTGGTTTCCAAAAATATCCCCATTTCTATACTTAATTTTATGAATAAACAATAAATAATTTAATATTCAAAGGTTTTGAATATAAATGGCTGATATTCAATTTGAATATCAATATTATTCGCATATTTATATATTTTTGTCTTTAGGGTTTAATATGAGTCATAGACTAAGCCATTTGTTCGATAATCTAATTTTAAACATGTAAAAGCAACAACTTCTCAACTTCTCAACAAGTAATTTATAGACCTATAAAATAGCCAGCAAAAACACTGGCAGGTTTAAGCGGCCTCTAGATCAAGGCTGAACCTGCCTTGTTATTTAATTTATTATGATCACAGATACTGTTATTAAACGGCCCCGATTGGGGTCCATTAAAAGGGCACGATTAAGATTTAAGCCAAAATAATATTATATAAGCCTGGAGATTTTTGTCATAGGTGGCAGAAGGTTTGGACTTCTATTTATCAAATTTTAATTTTTAGAAAATATTATTTTGGCTAAAATATTAATCAAGTCGTTTATTAAAATCGACAAAAATCGGGCCGTTTAACAACACTGTAGAAGAGTCTACATTAAAATAATAAAAAGATCAAATGATATGATTTATTTAGTGACGTTAAAAATAAATTTGATTTTAAAAATAACTCCAATTGAGGATATTTTTATAAATTATTTTTACTTTCATTTTAATTGAATGTTTTTAAATAAACAATTTTTGGGAATGATTAATAAATTGATTTCTGTTTTAAAACTTTAATAAAATTATTGGCATCACCATTAATCTTTAACAAGTCAAGTTGATGAAATAGCAGAGCAAATAAAACAGTATATTTTTATGGAGCTGTGTACTGAAGAGGGTGTTATAAACTACATCTAGAAGAGAATCGAATAAAAGTATTTTAGAAAGACATCAAAAAATAGTTTTCCTTATACCCTCCCTATTCCTGAGTGAAATGTTTTCTGGTTATAACCAATATATCACACAATAAATCTAAATATACTTGAATAAAATATAAATTTACATTTTCGGGTAATTTTTCAAGAATCTTTGGGTCTTCTTTTTCTTGGCCGGCTAAATTTGACTCCAAATTTAATATCCTGTCTAATTTTAATTAATGTGAGTTATGCTATAAAACAAAAATGTTCAGGGAAATGCAAATTTATACATATCTACATCAATAAAATATCATCAAATGACCTAAATTATTATACTCAATTTTTAGATAATTAGAGATTATTTTTATTAAACCCAACCAATCAGGAATTAAATAAACTTACCAGGATAAGACTAAAATAGTTAAGTATAAATTTTAAATATTATAAAAATAAATAATATATTTAAGTGTATAATATTGTGGTATACTATAATAACCAAGCCCATTTTAATATATGACTCAACATTTTCGAATCGGTACATAATTTTTGATACATGTGGGGGGTATTTTATATTATATACCATTTTAATAATCGTAATAGTAATCAATGTATTTAAAGTATTTTTTTATTTATAGGGTAAAATCCGAATGTATTTATTTCACTATTTTTGCATTTTAAATTGATTTGAATGTTAATTCTTTATAAAAATAATAATTAAATTACAAGACTGTGACAGCTTACAACTCCTGATTGTTATATTTCATCAGGATTATATTTCTTTTAATAATCTCTTGAATTTTTTCAAGATCAAAAATAGATAAAATCTTTCTTCCTTACTTTTATTCAAGTTTGAATGAGTTAAGGAAAAGTTACTTCCTTAAACTATTTCTTCGTTATATGTTTTAATATAAATTCGCTAGTCGGCAACCCATAAATTACATATATAACTTTCTATACTATATTTTACTCTCACATACTTATGTTAATCCATAAAGATGTTCATATTTAAGAAATTTATACTCATATTATAAGGATTAGGGGTATATTAACTTTCTTTCTAAGCAGTTGGGTTATGATTCTCATAGACGTCAGATGGGAGGGTCAGGCAGCAGCTAAAGATTTTTGAGCACCCTCTAAAGAATATTTTATATATATAAATAAATTTATAGTTGGTAAAATAGAGAGCAATATTATTCTCAACTGTATATCTGTATCATTATTTTACTTTTTTTTATCTGGGACTTGTAGAATCAACGATTATATGTCCCTTCGAATTGTTCATTCACATTCATATCAATCAATATTAGCTTTTTATATTTTTGATCAATTGTGAATTTAACATAATTTTTCAGCTTAACATTTGTGTTGAGACGAAATTAAGGTAATCTCTTAGTGTGGTGAGGTAAGCTTTAGAAATAGGAATAAGGACAGAGAAATGTCAAACATAATGATGGAGATGATCTTCTCTGTAACATGTGCCATTTTTGTTATAATATTTCAAGATTATTTAAGTTTAAGAAAAAAAACTAATAATTTTTTAAATTATAAATAATATAATCTGATAAAATATTTATATATAATAATTTGATTCAAAAAAAGGGTAGTTGCATAATAGATGGGTTTGAGTACTATAGTATGCGAGAAAAAAAGCATAAAAAGCCTAAATCTGTTTTTTTAATGTAAAAAAAGGGAATAAAAGCTTTAAAAACAAAAACAAAAATTGAAACACTCAAAAGTTAAAATAAAAAATAATTGAAAAAAAAAGGTTTTTTTATCCCTATATATTATATATACAACAATTACCCTTTTCAGATTCAGCATTATCAGAAAATTTCGAGATATCGGGTTTTTCATTTATAGTTTCCCTTAATAAAATTATAAGAATGCAATATTTTATAATGTATAAATAAATCTTTCGTAAAATAATTCTAGATTTTTAAACCAATTTTCAATATTTACCACATTTAAACGCAGTATACACGTTAAATAACAAAAATTGACCTATCAATTTGGATCTTAAATTATACTCAAAAGTTCTCTCTTATTGACAAATTCGGTGAATAGCTAATTTTCAAATGATTTGTAAATAGACTTACTCAAAAAATCTAATTTCCTAGTATGAAATTGTTTCTTATAAGCGGAATTAGGATCGATTTCTAAAAACGGTCCGATCAATATTTTAGCCAAAATAATATTGTGTGAGCTTGGAGATTTTGCTCATAAAAGGTAGTTCGGATAAGAAAATTTTTAACCGGACCGAGAAACCCGATTAAATTTTTTCTATCCAATTCGGCCCAGGTCAACTTCTAATAAAGATATAAGAAATGATTAAAAATTCAAATTTAATAAATAAAACGATTTTGATAAATTCTCTGTTTCTGAATTTATAGATATTCATAAAAAAAACTATATAATAAGTTCTATATTCTTATAATATATACCTATTCTTCGTCGTTTTTTCATTTTCAATATCAGTACGTAGTTTAAAATTATGTTTTATTGGTATGACATCAGTGAATAAATATGCTGATTCTTTTAATTTTATGCTATAATGGTATAAATTAGTTTGAACTATACGCATAAATTAATTATACATGAGTTTTGCAGCAGAACCTTCAAATGGCTGGAAAATTTTAAATTTTTTAGTGGCCTGATTATAAGGAAGTCGAGCTATTTCTTTATCCCAGAAATTATCCTTGATTATTGGTGGACATACTTGGTGCATTTCATCAATCAATATATAAGATATCTAATGTAATGTAATACAATAACCAAAAACATTTTATTTATATTTACGTAAAGATTTCTATCTATTAACCAGTTAATAGGAAAATCATCGTCATCCTCGCCCATAGGATTTAAACATACTTCAGCTGCCTAAGGTTTTATTTATATTAAAAAAATTTATTAATTATTCTATTTAAATATATTTTCATTTTTATAATTAAACAATACATTATAAATTAATAATATACTCAAATTTTTTTAAGATTAATCAATAATCCAATTTTTTTATAATGAAATAAAATCAATTATTTTTTTTTACCCTTTTCTTAAATCTTAAAACACAAATCATCCATCTATCTAACTATATATGGTAATATAATCAAAATTTGATGTATGAGTTTACTATTTCGGCAAGCCTACATTTTCTGTAAATAATGAGGATTCGTCACATACATATTTTAAATCCAAATATATTTTGTAATTTTAGCTTTAATTATATTGGAATTTTAAAAATGATTCAGCGAAATATACCCGTTTTTGCCCAGTTTAAATTTTTTTAATGGTTTTTATAAATTATTGTGTAAAAATAAAACTGCTATATTACATTTTTTTTAAATCTCCAAGTTCTTTAGAAAATTGTTGTCCTCATATAAGAACATCGGTAGTATTATTTTATTTTTCAAATCAATATCAATTTATATTCAAATAATATATAAAATGTATATAAGTATTAGCTTCTAATATGATTTCGGGAGATTAACACTACATTTAATACCTCCATGTATTTTTTTAGCCTATTGAAGATTCGACTGAAGATTTTCCCCCCTTTCATCTAATGCTCCTTTCTATTGAAATAAAATTTACACTGTAAAATTTATGATTAAAAAGAATTAGTATCATGCATGATAAGACAAATTTTTAATCGTTTCTGAAGATTGGGAATATTGTGAAATTAAATCCTTTTTTTGTAATATAATTTATTTTATCAATATAAACTCTTAATTGATGTAATTCAAGCTCCATGTTGTATAAAACTATACCTGCCTAAACTAAGATAATCTATTATACAACCTTCGTCGTCATCTTCCCTATTTTCCTCACTATGATTTTCATCATCAGATGGCTCAAAGAAAGTCATACTGTGTGATAATCTTTTTCTTATTTCAACCAATTCTTCAATGCTTTTATGGTGAAATTAATCTGTTATAAAAATATTTATGATATATTCTTTAACTATTTATGTGATTTTTATTTCATTAATAATATTCAAAAATTTAAAAATTATACAATTGTAAGAAATTTCGAACATAATTATTACTCTTATGAGTTGCGATATTCCAATATCGGAACATGAATAATAAAATAAATTATTTGACACAAATGAATAAGTAAACATAACCTGCTATATTCTATTTATTAAATCCTGTCTAAACACAATACAAAAAGTATAAAATTTGTAAATATTATATAGAAATTATATATTTAAAGCATTTACCTGTTATGATTTTTTTTTAAAATTCTTATAATAAGTTAATATATAAATAAAATAATAATAGCTAATAAACATGTAATAAAGATCAGTCAACAAGATTAATAATCTTTAAATTAAAATATTGAACAGAAAATATTCCAAATCAAAAAAATTAATTAAAAGTTCGATATTTGACACAAAGCAAAAACGGGTTAAATGTTATTAAAGCGTTATTCGTCATCTTCTAATTTCATGCGTAACAATTCCCTAATCCCCACCCCTCCCCCCAACCCCCCCTCACAAGATGAATTACTGGTAGCAAAATATTACATCAAAATAGATAAAGAAATATAAATATTTGAAAGAATTCAATTGGGTTTATTTTAATGTTTATTAATTTATAAGCTTTTTAATGTGATAGATAGAGATGACTATGCAAAATAAAATTGAATATCACAAATATTATAGATGCCAGTAGTGTTGTTAAACGGCTCGTTTTGAGCCAATTTTTAAAAACGGCTAACTCAATATTTTAGCCAGAAAAATATTGCCTAAGCCTTGAGATTTCAATAATTAAGACCTATGTTCCCTCTATGAACAAAATCTTCAGGCTTGCGTAAAATTTTTCTGGATGAAGTATTAAGCTAGCCGTTTTTAAAAATGGGCTCAAATAGTGCAGTTTAACAACATTAGATGGCAGAGCTTATGTAATAAGCTGATCAATACATTGAGACTTAGTTAATGTGTTTTACTCGGGGTAAAAATATTTAGTTCACTATAAACAAATATTTACCTATATCATGGTTTTTAACATTACATCAAATTATGCACCAGGATTTTAAAATTTAGTTCAATATATAAAAGCTGTTTATACTTTTAGCCAGCCGATATAAATCGTATAATGTAATAACGTTCGGAAAGGAGCACTGTAATCATTTATATTCTGGGTTATTACGACTGTATTAATATCGGCAATAGACGATTCAAAAGCATCTGTTATCAAAAAGATTTGCCTCCCAAATAAACACAATATGCAAAAGGAATAAACTCCCATCATCACGACCTATAAATTAGCATTAATATGAATTTAAATTTTGTAAATATCTGCTTGCCATTCATAAATATTAAGGTATTATGTTACATAAAAAATGACCACCTTATAAATTTTATTGAATCATTAATTTTAAAATAAAAGAATAGGCTTTATTTTTTTTAATGAGTTTACCATCTTTTACATAATACTAATATAATATTTTATTCGACTCGTTATAGAAAAAAAAACATTTTAATTTGGACGTGATTTAATATATAAAAAAAGAGCTCCTATTTAACTGCTCAGAATTAAAACTAAATTAAGAAAAAAAAATCCTTATACTCTCAGAATAAATCTTAAAGCTCAGAATTCTCAAATGAAACTTAATGTCTTGGGAAATAATATTTAATGCTCAAGTATAAAACGGAAAAGCTCAGATTAGAAAATGAATCGCTTAGAAACAGTATAATAATTTTTCTTATTGCTATTGATTTTAAGAATTTGTATATGATTATAAATTTTCTAAAAAAATATTTCCCCCCTCCACTTTTGGTTCCCATGCTTCTGCGCCCTCTAATTTCAATGATGATATTATGTCATAATCCCTCCTCCCATCTGTTGTAGTAGTCCTTGCAGGTTTTTCAAAATAAAAATTACTGGTCACGAGGGCTTATTTTAATGTGAATCTCTTGATATTTAATTATGGTTTTGGTTAAATAAAAAGAGTAAATTAAACATTCAGGAATCTTACACATAATACTAATATTTGAATCCCCTAAAGATATAGCGATGAGTAAAATTACAATGTTAGATCTTTTCTAATACCCACCTATACACATAGAGTGATTAGCATCAATAATTATTTGATCTTTGTATAAACTTTCATTTGATATTCATGTTGGCATATTGTGTATATACATATATATAATTAATCCCCAATCCCCTCTCAATAGGTAATCTGGTGACATTGAGTGCTGAATATCCATTTATCATTAGAAAATTAAAATTTTTACTTTAAAAAATCGTTTTTGATTTTAAAAGAAATATCTGTGAACAGTATAAATCCTTAGCTTTAAGTTTTTTTTTATTCTGAGCGATTAAATTTAAAAAAAAAGCGTCGGTTTTTATTAAGTGAGAAGTAATAAATCTTAAAGAATTTCGATATTTATAGCATATCTATTCTTTATTCAAAAAATAATTAATAAATTCTATAGTCTTAAAAATTGAAGAAAGAATGAAAAACCCAATCAATATATGTTTAGAGGCAAGTTTTGGCTCCTATTTAATTAGCAATTAATTCTGAATTGCAAAAAAATCCTTAAACTATCTGTATACATATTCATATCAAAAAATATACTGAATGCTAAGAATTATTTCTTAATACTGATAAATAACTTAATTTTTTAGAAAAAATAATAATTGTTCAAATATAAAAGGAAACGCTCAGTTTAAAAAATGAATTGCTCAAAGAAATATAACTGTCCGAACCGTTATAGGTTTTAAGAAAAATATATATAAAATTCAGTAAATATTCTCAGCTTTCGGTATTTTTTAATTCTGAGCAATGCAAGAACGATTTTTATAAACGACCTAATTAAGATTTTAGCATAAATAATATTATATAAGCCTCAAAAACCCTAGAACACATATTATTTTGATATAATAAAAATAATACAACAAAAAAACTGCTAAATTCAAAGTCAAACTTAAAATTTAAATATGGTCTCGTCTTCAATAACAAATTAATATTGATTTTTTTTTACATTACTCAAACCTGTCTAGATGATTTAATAATTAATTTTGTTACGAAGAACCATTTTCAATAGTTAAGTTTTTTAAAACCAACTATGATCAATTAAAAATTCTGAAACAATCCCATTCAGAGTGTATTAGCCTATATATCTTTAGAAAATTATTTATATCGATATTTATTAGTGCTGTAAACATTTCTAAAATAATTGAACGCGTTTACGTTCAACGTTCACCTTCAAAAAAAAGAACGCTTTTATATTCCTGAACGCGTTCACCTTCGTTCAAAACTTTATGAATAAATATTTTTTTTAAATTTTATTTAATATTTAATTTAATATAAATAAATACCATATATTTTTTTAATACGTTATATTAGATTTGCCATGTTTAAAATTAATAGTTTTAAGTGAATAAAAATAATTTTTTTTTATTGAAAAAGCATTCCTCATTAATTTTTAATATATAAAAATAAATTATTAACAGGATATTTATAGTTGCATTATATAAAATAATAAATATTATAATCAAGTATCTCTTTAAATTAGAACTTGCTGGTTACTTTTTGAACACATTTACATTTGTAAGGATATATATAGATAATATGATGATACTGTTATTTATTATATTTAATGTTAATGTTAAAATCAGAAGATGATGATGAAATAACAACATCTTTGTAAGGATATACATAGATAATATGATGATACTGTTATTTATTATATTTAATGTTATGTTAATGTTAAAATCAGAAATTGATGTTGAAATAACAACATCTCTATAAATAATAATATTCAAGTTATAAAACTATATTATAGGACAGAAATAGTGGCTGCTTAAAAAAATTCAAATGTGATAAAGGAAACATGATTAAATAGTTAAACCTTTTTTCTAATTTTGGATTAATATTAAATTAATATTTTTTATTCTCAACATAAGATTTTAAAATTGAACGAATATAAAAAAAGAATGCATTCGTCAAAAAAAAAGTAAGGCTTTCACGTTCAAAATTTGCCAAAAATAAAAGGAATGTCATTCATCACTTTTTCAAAAAACAAACTTCCTTCAGGAACGCGTTCAATTTAAACGAAATCGTTTACAACATAAATATTTATACATTTAGAAAGTATATTTAAACAACTCCGGATAGTAGATTACATGAAACAAAGAAAATTAAGTCGATATGATAGATTCAGATAATAATTTTTTACAGTGAAATTATGAGACAATTTTTTTATTTAGATATCTTCTAAAATTTTGCATAATCGATAGCACGTGAATAATCTAAATTTTTTAGACTTGATATTTTTATTCAAAAACTTATATTTTTATGTAAAAACTAAAGACTAAAAGACAATATAATTGCATTTAGGGCTGCTAAGTTCAATAAAAATATATATTATATATTAGATCAATAGATGTAAAATAAACAATCATTTTGAACCTATTATTAAACGCACATTTATATAATTCCATATATACTTGAGTGTATACTAATGGAAAACTTATCCAATCTTGCCCCAGCAATCTTCCCATATTTCCTCTCAATTTCATTAACTCCTAAACAATTTATATTTAATGCATATTGTGAATGTAGTAACTTTTATTAGATCTATTGTGCTAAATTGATCTCTTATGTAACCCTCAGAACGCGCTTTATTAATTAATGCTATTGACCATATTAAAGTTACCCACCACACGTCTCCTGGAGCAAATGTTTGCAATATCTTTTTTTCGTTTTCAATTAAGATGCCTGTATTAAGGATTTATTTATTTTTAAATTTATTTTACGACGAAAACAAAATATAATCAGCCAAGGAAACAAAGAGAATAAATTAATCTAATTATACCAATCAGGTCCATCACTATAATAATGAAAACCTGACTGTGTTGTAAAAAAAGCCCTAGTATTGCCTGGGCCTAATTGTAAAAATAAAATTTATTAATTTTTTGTATAATTAAGAAATAATGATTGTAATTGATTCATTAAATAAATAAATGTTATCAATATTTTCTCGAAATTATTCGGTTGATTATAAAATATTAAATATTTGCAAGGATTTGATAGATGAAAATATATTTTAACCCGCTATTTCATAGAAGAAATCTCAAATATAAATAAATAAATTAAACCTAAACAGCTCATGGCAGATTCTCACTGAAAATATAATATAATAAAAATTCCAAGAAGCCAAAAACTTAGATAAGCAGGGCGAAATCTTATTTGACGTAAATTTAATAATAACAGACCTGCAGGTTACTATTGATATGTTCAAAGACAATCAATATATTTTTTTTTCATTATTGGGTTTAAAGGTCATGACGTGCTAACATTTAATTTATCATTATATTTTACGTCAATAATTATAATTCCGACTCCCTGGGCTTTACTGCTTTCTGATTCACAATTTAAAATATGGTTCATTTATAAAAAAAATTTAATCCCACCCTACATGAAACAATATTTAAGCATTTTAAAACCTAGTATCTGATATCTGCTTGCGAAGCTATTTAACCCTTACAATTACTTTTTTTATTATAAATTTGGAATGAATAATAGGATATAAAAATATATGGAAATTTTATGTAAACCGGATACGACTAAATGATCTAATGTAGGAAATCTTTTTCTTGTGGAAATTGCCAAATTTCTGAATACGTTTATAAATGTCAAATTAATATATCTCATTAATGTTCTCCTTATAAGTCTTGCTCTCTCTTCCGTGCCATGGATATGTGTGGATATTAAAAAGGCTTTATTTAATCGAGATATAATATTATATTTATCGAAAATAAAATACCTAATCTATCAGGGTAAGGTATACTGCTAAAATATCTCCACCATCGAAACAAGACAACATCAGTGTAAAATCCTAATATAAACGAAAATGGAACGACATCTAATAATTTTTCAGCTTTTCCAGATACTTCCATAAAAACTCTAATTTTTAACCGAATAAAATTATATTAGGCTATGTCCTAAATATTTTTCATAAAATTCAAAAAGTTTTAAAATTTTAGTTATATGGGTATGTTAAATTTATAAAAATATTCCAGAATTATATTTTGAACATGTTTCTATTTTGATATTAAAAAAAACTTATTCCTTCTTCAAAAAAGTTTCAAAAGTTAGCGAATCAAATTTTTTTGTATTTTGGACACAACCTAATCAACATTTTTCTCGCTTATTTATATTAATCATTTAATTAAATTAAAATATTATTAATATTTTTTTTAGCATATTTTGTTTGGTTGAATAATAGCTAACTCAAGGAATGTTCATCTGATATAAATGTTTTATATTAGATGAAATATATAATAAAATAAATATAGATAAATTAAAACAAGAAGTGGGATTTCAAGGAAGGTATATGAGTTAGGATTAATATTAGAAATTGGTTTCAAATAAAAAAATTTTTTTTAATTACCTAAAAAATCTGACAGGCCATGTGATTATAAAAAGCCTAATAGAAATTTAAATAAATCAGCTTTCCTGAGTTAACCTAAATCTTTAATTTTAAATTTAACAAATTTCATATTGAATTTACCTCTTTTGGTTTTGGGATAATAGATTCACAAAAATAGCATATAAAAGCACATAAAATAATAGAAAAACAAACAAACATTTCCAGATCAGTGAATACACGCTACCTCTCCATCTATTTATATTTTTTTAATGTAAAAAACAAATTGGCATTTCTCTTTTAAATTAAAAAAAAATTGATGTATTTTTTAAATAAAATCTAGGTGGACCCCGAGACCGATTGTAAATTTCGCTTGATATGACCAAGTTTAACCTAGACTATGAGCCTGGACTAAAGAGGCTCTGGTTTTTAATATTTTCAAAGTAAATCAATTTCCGCTCTTAATTCCTAAAAATTTTTAAAGTGGGTTTTGTTATGTAAATTTCAATCCCTGTTAAAGCAATAAGTTAAACTAGTTTATGTTTTAATTATAAATAACCTCCCTTTTACTGGTAATTTTAAAATGTCTGATTCAAGTTTCCCTGTATATTTTTTAGAGAGTGAGTTTCTAGATTCTTTCAGTTATGATTCAATGTTCTAGTTTCGATTCAAAGTTCTTTAGAAAGCAATTTATATAATTTTTAATTTATTATATTCTTAAAATTTACGAACATAATTCTATAAACAATAAACTTTAATTACTAGATATCTAATTTTATAGGCTAAAAAGATATAAATTAATTTTTATTTTTATAACTAGAAAACCGTTTGAAATCATTTTAGGTAATTAATTCTGATATTTAAAACCTATAAAAACACGGGAAATGAGAAAAGGGAAATTGGATAGGTTAGCTTCCTGCCATAATTTATGTAAATCTTAGTCAACGCACTATATGATTTAAATATATCACAAACAGTAATAAAATTTTATAAGTAAAAATTTTTAGTCAGCCTATTGAAGTATTTATTTAGTATCTGTTGCACATAGATTTCGGATGTTTTCATTCTTCTATTATAAGAAATCTCTTTATCAGTTCATTCTAACCGTCGAGAACAGACCATGATTTTATCCACTATCGGCCCTAATCTTTTAAGATGGATATTTTTTGTTTAGCTTGATTAAAAAATTTTTCCAAAGAAGGAATAGGATGGTGAAATAAGGATTATTGATTATAAGACAAATTCTCCTATAGCCTTATGGCATTTAATATAAAGGTTCTCAATAGGGGGAGATAGTGGAAAAAATATCCTACAAATAATAAAATATTTGTTTAATAAAAAATTTTATTATATAAAAGCTAAAAATATATTTGCAATTGAATAAAAAAAAATTTTACTTCCATAGTACTCGAAAAAATATAGAAAAATTGCTAGTTGCAAAATCAGCTGAATAAGAAACAGTCATACAAAATATGCTTTCAGAATTAAAATTATTTATCGAATCAAATATTCTAATATAATTATTTTAATCTTATTAATTTTGATAATTTTTATTTTGATTAAATTTACTTTATGCTAGCTAACTCTTATTAGAGATCTGCAAAGTTAAGCTCGGGCCTAATTTTATTTAAAATAATCGGGTTTGGGCCGGACCGAGCCTAATATTTTTAAAAAAATTTCGAGCCGGGTCGGGCCTTGGAAATTTTATTAAATATATCTAAATTTATCAATTTTATATTGAATTTTTTATGTAAAATTAAAATTTTTGATTTAATTTATTGAAACTAAATATAACATATGTCTTTTATTTTAAGTAATAATAAAAATTAATTTCTATATTTAAATAATCTTATATTTTTATACAAGATAAAAGAATATTTAAAAAAATTAGAAAAAATTTAAGAAAATAAGATTAAACAATTTTAATACAAACTTTATATATTATTCTTAGACTATTTTAAAATATACCATGAAATATATTATATCATCGTAAAAATATGTAAATATATAAAAATACAAAATTATTCTAATCACATCTCTTAGGAATCACTATGATGGTGTTTCAATAATAGCAAAATATTACTTGGGTAGAGGTTCTACAATCGGTTGTTGCTCCTCAATCCAACATCTAGGCTGACTTATTTTAGAAATTTAACATGCCAGGTTAGTAAAAAATATAAGTGCCAGATAGTTAAAAAATATTTTAATTATATCGAGTCTGGCTAAGGCGGGTAAATTTTTCATAAAATTATAAGGAATTGGAGAGTTTTGAAGACCTCTAATATATTGGGAGGAACATAAAATGATATTCAAAAGAACATTCTAATTTGCGAAGAGCCCCCCCCCCCCACCCCTATGTATAAAATATGATTAAATTTAATCTCATTACTTAAAATGGCATGGCGTTGAGAAATTTTATATAAACTTTAATTAAGCCTTAATACAAATGATAAAAATTGGTTGATGATATTACGACCCTATCTATAACCCAAATAAGAGGTCATTCTTTACTAAGTTGAATGAATAGTTACTCAAGGGCAACTTCTAGATAATTAATAATTAATGGCCTAGTCCTATTAAAAATATATCGAAATACATCTCCTATGAAACTGTATCAGTAGAAATGGCGAAAGGAAGAGAATATTGAATTTCAATTTATAGAAATGGTAGACATAGATTGTATGAATAATATAAAATGGAAAGAGATATTGAAGGGGACCGCGAATTACATTATAGAGATGGATGATTAGCTTTTTTAATAAACAATAACGGTTTTAAATGACATTTTTGATGTTGTGTATTATTACACAATCTTATTAAACATGTGTAATAAAAAAATGTTTGAACGTAGGGAGACCGGGGTAAAGCGATTGACGGGGTAACAATGTTAACGCGAATAACTTTTTAACCATTGAGTATAAAGACCTTAAATTTGGTGTGAAGATGTATTTTTATATCTAATTTCTTACCTATGTTCATCTTTTAAAAAACTTACCTGGTTTTATATATTTTGTCAAAAAACTGTTTTTTACCCAAAAAATATAAAAATCAATCTCTAGTATATTTTGCTTTTAGTAAAATTTACATATCCTCAGGATTCAAAATTTGGCACACATGTTCCTTAATGTATTAACTATAAAATAAAAATTATCTGACATCTTTAGCTATATTAGAAGTCACGCAATAACGATATATATAATATATGTCACCTAGGGGTAAAGCTGTTATGGGTAAAACGGTTAAAATATAAAATTATTCACATTAAATTTTTCATTCATTAATTTATTATAATCAAATAAATATTGATATTTAATATTAAAGTTACCAATTGAGCATTATTAAAATTATGAAATTAATTCAATTTATTTAATTAATTATATATCATTTTAACTCTATGGAACTGGTATTGTTAATTATTAAAATGAAATTGTTTTATTTTATAAATAAACAAGATAAGAGGATTTGCATATCAGCTTGCTAAAGAATATGGCAAATCTTTCCCAGAAAGCTGGACAACTAATGGTATGGCTGGAGAGGACTGGTTTATGGGGTTTAGAAAACGACATTCCCAACTTTCGATTCGTACCCCTGAAGCTACTAGTCTAGCAAGAGCATATGGCTTCAATCCCACAAATGTCAATAAATTTTTTGAAAATTTAATTAAGCTATATAATTCTTATAACTTTGAACCACATAATATATGAAATGCAGATAAAAGTGGTTTCACCACCGTTCAAACTCCTGCAAAAATTATAGCACAGAAGGGTGCCAAACAAGTCGGCTCTATAACGTCAGGAGAAAGAGGAACGTTAGTTACAATATGTTTAGCCATCAATGCTATAGGCCATAGCATTCCACCATTTTTTATTTTTCCAAGAAAACGATACAAAGATCACTTTATTCGTGATGGGCCTATTGGATCTAAGGGTGTGGGAAACGCATCGGGTTGGATGCAAGAGGAGGAATTTTTATCTTTTTTGGAACACTTTAAAAAATATTCTAGTGCATCCAATGAGAAAAATGTCTTATTAATCTTAGATAACCATAGCTCTCATTGTTCAATTTCCGTTATAAACTATTGTCGCTCCAATGGGATTGTTATTCTAACACTTCCACCACATTGCTCGCATAAACTCCAACCATTAGACAAAGCAGTTTATGGGCCATTGAAAAAGTTTTATAATGGAGCTATTGACACATGGATGAGAAATCATGTGGGCAACAATTTCAGATTTATGATATTCCAGGAGTGTTAAAAAATGAAATACCAAGGGCAGTGACACCAAATAATATATTAAATGGGTTGTTAGCATGTGGCATATTTCCTTTAAACCCAAATATATTTACAGAACAAGATTATATCTGCTTTAATAATTCAAATGCTAGCTCAAATATTGAATTTGAAAATAATGATGAAAATATTACAGTGACTCAAAATCTTACAGTGACTCAAAATAATGATAGTGATTTATCTATATTATTGAACGAAAATGTTCCAGATGATATTGATGAACCTTATCATGATATGTTACCATCATGCTCAAAAAATTATAATAAAGTATTCAATCCTTCATCTATAATACCTATTCCAAAATTATTCAATATTTCATCGGATAAAATATCTAAAAAAAAGAATGAAATATTAAAAAAAAATTATTAATTCAGAGAAAAAAAAGGATATCAAAAAATAATTGTTTATGTGTTATTTGTAATAAAAACTATAAAAATAGTCGCGAGGGCGATGAATGGCTAAAATGTACAATGTGCCTTGAATGAGCACATTCTAAATGTGCTAATTATGATAATTATTTTACATGTCCTTATTGTATTGATTAGTTTTTAAATAAAAATCATAAATAAATCTTAAATTTGTAATATTTGTTAAATAAAACAATAAATATGTGTCAAATATTATTTTAACCACTTTACCCTAGTACTTATCCATTTTACCCTAATGAGTAGTTTTACATAACTAATTATAGCTCCTAAAATATTATAGATAGAGGGCTACACTTTTTTTTATCTTGTAGAAGAGGGATGGGGCTACACATTGATCTATAATTTATTGTGTTTGACTCTTGTTTAAAATTTTTATGGTAAATATGCAAAATGCCTATCGTTTTACCCCGGTCTCCCCTAGTGAGAACTTTAAAAACGTTGAAAAATTTACCCGAAAAAACCAGATTTTTTAAATTTAAAAAAATTAATCTGCTAAATAAATTTGGAAAATAGCATAATAATCTGTTGAATGCGCTTAAGAATTTTAAAAAATTTGCCTAAATGCATATTATAGTATGTGTAAAATTAACATATCTTATAAATTTCAACTAATGATATATGATGTCATTTAACAATAGTAATTTTATTAAAATACAAGGCTCTTAATTTTATTAAAATGCACCCATTTTGAATAGATTAAACCTATTCAATTCTATTTTTAATCCTAACCCTAAGATTTCCTTGGAGGTAGATTTCAGAAGATCAAACTGTACTCCCTTCCAGAACAATGATTTATATATATCGTTGAAACATATTTAATTATGGAATATTCCTAAATATAAAAAATAATGCGTCATTTTGAAAATATTGTTTTAAACTTGTTATATATTATTATCTGATAAATGCGAAAGTTTTAAAATCCCTTTTATATTAATATCGATCAAATAATATTGATCAAATAATATCGATCAAATAATATCGATCAAATAATATCGATCAAATAATATCGATCAAATAATATCGATCAAATAATATCGATCAAATAATATCGGATACAGTGAATCATATTTGATCAAAACTTCTAAATTATGTTGTGAACTATTCAAGTTTATTAATAATTAAAATTATTACATAAAAAAAGATAAATTTGTAAGTTTTAATTAAATTTAATTTAGTATGAAAATCTTATTTGCTAAATATAATGATGAAAATGCTTTGATATTTTGAAAAATGTTAATGAATATGGCCTATTTTTTTTTATAAAATTATTGACCATCTGTTTTAAAAAACAATTAAAAAATGCGAAATCAAAGAAATATTTATTGAGTCATTAGCAATTAAAGAGATGGATATTTTTTTTCAGGTAATTTTGATTTCATGTTTTATCACACTCTTGTATTGATTAAGTTGTGAAGCGAATTTGGATGACGAGGTAATGTAATTATTAAAGAATAAAATTGGTATAAAAAAACAATTTTTATGAGGACAAAAATAAAGTAGAATTCTTATAAACTAACTTAGCTTATTTATAAAGCTAAGAAAACCATAAATGCAAGTAAATTCGCAAATAATTCCCTAACACTTCGCATTTAAACGGTTTCCACTCAAATTTTTTTTTGAAAAACCTATTTTTAAAAATTATTTACTTATATAATTTCTCATAAATTTCTGACAATTTGTAATTACAGACATTACTGGTTATATGATTTAGCGTTTTCTAATTATGTCACATTATTTTGAAAAAATAAATGTAAAACATTAAAATGGGGATATTTTTTATAAATTTGAGACTTAAAAGAAATGGAATATAATGTAAAATGGTTAAATAGTAAAATAATTGTTGTATCATCCAACAAAACAAATGTATTTACATTTATTATAAAAAGTTTAAAAACGATAATTCTTATAAACTACTTTGCTATAAACTTTATCATTTTTACATTGATTAAATTAACTTTAAAAACATATAATATCAAGGTCGCTTTAAAATAGCATTGTTTTCAAGATTTTTCGCTTCCAGTTTTATCCGTAGGAAATCTAAATAATGAATCCTAGAAAAAAAGATAAATTTTATAAAAAAAATCAAAAGCTTACAATTTTGATATATTGATATATTCAGGATCATAGCTGGAGTCCACCCCTTCCCTCATTTATTATGTCCCTTTCCCTCCCAACAGAAAAGATAAAAAGCATTTATGAAAACATTAAAAAAATATACCCTCCCTATCCTGGATATAGCCAATATTTCGCATAATAATTGTAAAGAGAAAATAAAAATTTCGAATATGATAATTTACATCTTCGGATAATTTTTTAGGAGTCTTTAGATCTTCTTTTTCTTGGCCCGCTAAATTCGATTCCATATTTAATATCCTCTCTAATTTTAATTAACATGTGTTATGTTACAATGCAAAATGTTCAATGAAATGCAAATTTATAAATATCTATGCATTATTAAAGTATCATCAAATGATTCCATTTATTTTATTTGATTTTTTGAAATTAGTTAGAAATTAGCATTTTTATTAAATCAAACCAAGCAGGACTTAAACAAACTTACTAGGATAAGAATAAAATTAGTAAAGTATAAATTTAGAATCTAAAAAAAATGATATATTTAAATATAGAAATTCATATAGGTTAGAGTTGGTTACGGTCCTTAAGGAAATTTTAAAAAGATTTGGTTCGGTTCAGCTTATCTAAAATTAATTTTTTAAAAAACATTTGAAAAAAAGGTTTTTATTTCATCCCTATATATTGTATATAACTATTACCCTTTTCAGAGGCAGCATTTTCAGGAAGTTTCAAGATATCGGGTTTTATAGTTATAGTTTCCCTTAATAAAATTATAAGAATGCAATATTTTATAAAGTATAAATTATATATCTCTTGAAAAATAGCTTTAGATTTTTAAACCAAATCTCAAGATTTGACACATTTAAAACGCATTATACACGTTATTTAATTAAAGTTGACCAATCAATTTGGATCTTAAAGAATATTTAAACGTTCCTTCTTATCTATAAATAAGGTGAATAGCTATCTTTCAAAAGACTTGTAAATATTTCCTATTTTGAGCAATAATTAACTAAAATTTAAAATGATGCTAAAATTAAAAAAGATATCAATTATTGGAAATTTGTTATCATTTTTTTTTAGAAAATGAAGGTTAATTTTATTATTTTAGATAGTTTTATTTCAAAGTTGTTTAAATTTAATTTTTTTAGTTATAATCATTTTTATTTTTCGATTTCGGACTATCCAGTAGAGTGTGTTTGTTTCTCAATAATTTTAGCTTTTTAATTAGTTCCATTTCTTAAAAAGGTTAACAAAATCAAAAGTATAAACTTTATAAATATTATTTTCTAAATTTTTTCAATATGAAAATTGGATAGGTTCTATCGAAGAGTATAAAAGCCATTAGATTAGAATTGATTCATTATATTTTTATAATATTAATATAATAATATATAATAAGAGCCGTGTCACAGAAAAATTGTCACATTAGAAGTGCAATAAGCCAATCGAACTCACAACTAAACAATATATCTAAATATTTGCCACAACTGATTAACCGCTATGTCCTCACGAGTTCTTATGCAATATAGTCTATTTATTTCCAGTTTTTATTATAATTTTAAAAATTTTAGATTATACCCATCATCAAACAGCCCTTATTATTTTTATTTCATATTTTGAAATATTCTAATTTATACTATGGCATTCAGAGAGAATAAATTCGAATTTTATTTTATTTTATTTTGGCAATTGTAAATTATGTCATACTAGAATTAAAATTCTGTCTAAAGCAGCAATAAGAATGTAAAAATTAGGCATAAGTGATTAGTAATAATTTAATTAGAATAATGATATGTGTGACTTTCATTCCTAATAGGTTGGACTTGGCCTGAAGGAAAAGGTGGGGGGGGGGCTAAAAAAAATAAAAATTGGGTATGATTTTCAAATAAAAGGAAACATTTATCATAAAAGTCAAGAGATAATTCGCATTCTCCATCATTTTTGATGGGATTATAAATTTTATTAAATTATTTTCTCACAAGAAAAACCAAAAGTAAAACAAATGTTTTAAATTTTTTGAGTTTTTATGATTATACTGAATCATATAACTTAATATTAATCAAAAAATTTAAATTTGCTACTTCATATTAAAATAGACTTTTCAATTCAAATCGCAAGTAAAAATAACTATGCGCGCACATTTTTACATTGCATAGCCTAAATAATTAATGGGCTTTTAAAGGTTGTTTCCAAACAATGAAATTGATAATGAAGAGTATATAATAATGCATATTATTATATATAAAGCCCAGCTCGGTCCAAAATTCCTGCTGGCTGGGCTTATAAATAGTTTTGACTTATTAAAAATGCTTTTAATTGATAATTTAAGCAAATTTATGTCTTTTTTTTCATAAAAAATAATTAGTTGCCAGGCCTTCAAATTTGTATAAGTTGTATTTTGTGTTTCGGATGGATTTTACCCCGGACCAAGAAACCCCATGGATAATCTTTTTAACCAATTCGGGGAGTGTCAACCCCAAATAAAGATATTAAGAAAAAGAAATAAAGATTATTTTAGGTAAAAATTTAATAAATAAAACAGTTTTGATAGATTCTCTATGTTTTTGAATCATAAGTATTCAAAAAAAAGATATAAGTTCTATATTCTTATAATATTTACCTATTCTTTGTCGTTTTATCACTTTCAATATCAGTATGTACTTTAAAATGATGTTTTATTGGAATGATATCAGTGAATAAAAATGCTGATTCTTTTAATTTAATGCTATTATGGTATAAATTAGTTTGAACTATACGCACAAATTAATTATACATGAGTTTTGCAGCAGAACCTTCAAATGGCTGGAAAATTTTAAATCTTTTAGTGGCCTGATTATAAGGAAGTTGAGGTAGTTCTTTATCCCAGAAATTATCCTTGACTAATGGTGGGCATACTTGGTGCATTTCATCAATCAAAATGTATGATACCTAAAGTAACACAATACGGAAAACATTTTATTTATATTTACGTAAAGATTTCTATCTATTAACCAGTTAATAGGAAAATCATCATCATCCTCGCCCATAGGATTTAAACATACTTCAGCTGCCTAATGTTTTGTTTATATTAAAAAATGATTAATTTTTCAATATCATTTTAAAAATATTTCCATTTTTATAATTAAATTTTACAATATAAATTAATTCTAATCAAAAAAATTTTTTAATTAATCAAAATTTAATCTATTTTTATTAATGTAAATAAGATCAATATTATTATTTTAAGTCCATTTCTGGCTTTTTAAGCACCTTTATATTTAAAATTTTGAAAAAATATTATAATTCTTTTCTTAAATCTTAAAAATCAAATCCAAATATAATCACAAAATTTGATATATTATTTTGGCACGCCTAAATTTTCTGTTAATAATAAGGATTCGTCACATATATAGTATAGAATCCAAATATATATTGTAATTTTTGCTTTAATTATATCGAAACTTTAAAAATTTTAGCAAAATATACCCGTTTTTGCCCAGTTTAAATTTTTTAAAATGGTTTCTATTAATTGTGTAAAAAGAAAACTGTATCACATTTTTTTAAATCTCTAAGTTCTTTAGAAAATTGTTGTCCCTATATCGGAATACCTGTAAAATTATTTTATTTTTAAAATCAATATCAATTTATATTCAAATAATATAAATTATTTAATTTTTAAATATTAGCGTCTAATATGATATATTTTAAAGAATTCTTCGGGGAGATTAACACCACATTTAATGTCTAACTCCATGTATTTTTTTTAGCGTAATGTAGATTCAACTTTTGGATATCTTTATTCCTTAATTCATTTAAATATTTTGGTAACCCCTTTCTAACGGCGTCTTTCGATATTTCAAGAAATAAAATTAAAACTATAAAATTTATGATTAATTTAAATTCATATCATACATGATAAGACAAATTTTTAATCGTTTCTGAAGATTGGGGATATTGTGATCCTTTATTACAGCAGTGAATACTAAGTGGCTTAGTTCTTTTATGGGTAAGATAATCTATTTCATTAATATAAACTCTTAATTAATGTAATTCAAGCTACATGGTTACTTGAAACTATATCTGCCAAAAACTACCCTATTTTCCTCACTATAATTTTGACCACGAGGTGGCTTAAAGATATTTCATGCTCTTTGATAATCTTCCTCAATATTACTACCAATTTTTCAATGTTTTAGTGACTAAATAAATCTGTTATAAAAATAATTATAATATATTCTTTAACTATTTGTGTGATTTCTATTTCATTAATCAAATAATATTCTAAAATTTTAAAATTATACAATATTGTAATAAATCTTAAACATAATTATTACACTTTTGAGTTGCGATATTCCAATATCGGAACATGAATAATAAAATTAATTATTTGACACTAATGAATATCCAAACAAAACCTACTATATTATCAATTAAATAGTGTATATAATACAATATAATTAAATTTGTAAATTATTATATAGAAAAATTATATATTTAAAACTTTACCTGTTCTGAGTTTTTTTAAAACATTCTTATAGCAAAATCGGAAATGTTAATTGTAAAAAAAATATATAAATAAAATATAACAACAAGATTTAAAATATTTAAATTAAAATATTAAATTCCAAATCAAAAAAAAATTAAAAGGTTTGATATTTCACACAAGGCAAAAACAGGTTAAATGCGCGTTATAATCGTCATATTCTAATTTCATGTTCAACAAATTATGCCTTAACCCCCCCCCCCCATACACACACTGAGTTATTGTTAGTAAAATGTTACATCAAAATAGAAACAAAAATTGAAAAATGTGACAGCATTCAAGATTTATTAATAATTATATCTCAGTCAGACTTCCAAATATATATTATATGCTATATTAAAAGATTCGCTCACAATCTCATTATATTAATTGCTGATATGAGTTGTTCTCTGCTTTCAAAAGAAAAAAGGCAAAGACTATAGGTCAAGAAATTTAATATTAGTTTTGATTAGTATTGAGGAAAATATTGTGTATGAAATGCGATGATGATATAATTGGTGTATTTTATTTGAATGATATAATGTATTTATTTCATATATGAATTAGAATAAAATAAAGTCAATTCGAATTATGGTTTGGCATCTTTATTTTTATACAGTTTTAATTAATCAAATAAAAAAAATTACCCCCCCCCCCTTCTCCAAAAATATAATTGGGCACATCATATTGGGTTTTTAGTGTTTATTTATTTATAAGCTTTTTGATATGATAGATAGAGATTACTATGTAAAAATAAACTTATATGCAATGCAGAATGCATTGGAACTTATTTATTTACTCAGGGATTAAAGTTCACTTTAAATGAATATTTAGCTGCATCAGAGTTTTTAACATTACATCAAATTATGCACTAGGATATTAAAATTTGTTCAGTATATATAAAGTTGTTTGTACTTTAATCCAGCCAATATAAATTGCGTAGTGCAATAATGTTCGAAGAGGAGCACTGTAATCCTTTATATTTTGTGTTATCTTGACTGGGGTATCATCATCAATATCCGATTCAGAACCACCTGGTATCAAAAAGGTTTGCCTCCCAAATAAACACAATATACAAAAGGAATAAACGGCCATCATCACAACCTAAAAATTAGCATTATTATGATTATAAATTTTGTAAATAGCTGCCTGCCATTCTTATATATTATATAACATTAATTTTCCCAACCCTGGCTAGATAAGAAAACTTAATATTTTTTTTAAAATATTATTTTGTAAAGGTGTAAAAATACTTATGAGAAATATCTTCATTTCTGCACTTTTACTAAACTGTTTAAATAAAAAATGACCACTTTATTATTTTTCTTAAATCATTATTTTTAAAATAATGAGCTTTTATGACATTATAATATCATCTTTTACGTATATAAATACTTTTAAAAATATTTTGTTCGTAGAAAAAAAAAATTAAAGTTTTGACATGATTTATGCTTAGAAAAATATCCTTAAATTTTCAGAATAAATACTTAATGCTCAAATAAAACTTAATTGCCCAGAAAAAATATTAATTGCTCAGATATAAGACCGAAACACTCAGATTAAAAAGTGAGAGAAATATTTTTTCTTGCTACTATTTATTTTAAGAATTTGTATACAAATATCAATTTTCAAAAAAAAATATTAACCCCTTCCGGTTCCTATGGATTCCTGTACCCTCTAATTTAAATAAATATATTAGGTCACTCCCCCCCCTCATTATATCCTTGCCGATTTCTTAAAATAAAAATGTTACGAGGGCTTATTTTACAAAGCGAAGCTTATGATTTGTAATTATTATGGTTTTCCCTAAATAATTGGAATAAATTAAGCATTCAGGAATCTTATAATAATCTCCATATTTGAAAGTCAGAAGTACCCTAAAGACATAACGATGAGTAAAAATTACAATGTTAACAATAGATCTTTATATTAGCTTTCATAAGATAATAATATTGAAATATTATATTAGAAATTTTTTTAGCTTAATAAACTCATCCTGAATAATAGCTCACTATGAAGAGATGAGTATCAATATAATTAATTAATCTTTTTATTAGCTCTTATTTGGTACCCATTTTAAGAAACTATATTTAAAAAAAAATTAAAAGAAAAAAATTATTAAACTACAGAATTAATACTTATTCAGATAAAAATGCCAAGAATTATTATACTAATAAATAACTAATTTTTTAGAAAAAATACTAATTGTTCAGGTGTAAAACAAAACGCTCAGCTTAAAATATGAATCTCTCATGAAGCGATCCGAAAACCGTTAGGATTTTAGTATAAATATGTGAAATTCAGTAAATATTCTAAGCTTTAAGTGTTTTTTTTAAAAAAAATGAGTTTTTTGGTCACCTTCACGATTATAACAAACAAGAGCATCTATTTTATAAAAAATTAACAGAACATCAGAAAATTTTATTCGATTCCTTGGCCAATTTACAAAATCTATTTTAAAATCATAACCCATAAATAAAAGGGTGAAGATATATATTTCAGTTGATCTGACCGATTTTTGAAAGGACTAGATTGAGATTTAAGCCAAAATAATATTATGTATGTAAACCTAAAATGTTTCTCATAGATTGGTAAAAAGGTTTGAATCTTTATTAACCAAATCTCTAGGCTTACATAATATTATTTTGGCCAAAACATTAATCGGATCGTTTTACCCTAGAACACAGTACTATTTTGATTTGTCGAAAATACAAAACAAAGACACTTGATAATCAAAATTAAACCTAAATTTAACCATGGCCTTCGTCTACAATCATAAAAATCATTGATTTTTTTCCCTTTACTAAAACTTATCTAGATGATTAAATAATTAATTTGGTTACGAAGAACAGTTTTCAATTGCTAAACAACTATGAAAAGTAAAAAAATTGAGATTTAGCAATAGATTTCAATTAAGAATGTATGATTTATATATCTTTTGAACATTATCTATACCGATATTTATACATTTGAAATATATTTTTAACAACTTTAAATACTAGATATATACAAGAAATAATAAAAATTAAACAAATATGGTATCTTAAGATTATAACTTCTACAGTGAAAATCTTTCAATTTGGATGTCTTTGATATATTTTGCGTAATCGATTGCAAGGGAATAATTTAAATCTTTTAAAAGAAACTTGATATATTTTTCAAGAACTATAAAATTATACTAATTATATTATTAAACTTAATAGGCTCCAGATTTTTATGTGAAAGCTGAGATTAAGACAAAAAGTCAATATAATTACGTTTAGGCTGCTAAGTTCAATTTTAGAAAAATATATTAAATTAGATCAATATTATTAAATATAAATATTAGGCAATTGATTTGGTAAGTTATAATTTATAATATTCCTCATATACTTGTGTATAAATTAATGGAATGCTTATCCAATCCTGTCCCAACAATCCTCCCAAATTTCCTCTCAATTTCATTATCTCCTAAATAATTCATATTTAATGAATATCATGAGTGTATTAACTTTTATTAGACCTATTGTGCTAAATTGATTTCTTATGTAACCCTCAGAACGCGCTTTACTAATTAATGCTATTGACCATAATAAGGTTACACACCACACATCTCCTGGAGCGAATGTTTGCAATATCTTTTTTTCGTTTTCAATTAAGATGCCTATATTAGAGATTTATTTATTTTTAAATTAATTTGTGACAAAAACATAATATAATCAGTCAAGGAATCAAAGAATAAATTAAGCTAATTAAACCAAGGTCCATCACTATAATAATAAAAACCTATGTGTGTTGTAAAAATTAGCCCTAATCTTGAGTGGGCCTAGTTTAAAAAAAAATTAAAAAATATTTAATAATTTTTTGTACAGATAAGAATTATCGGAATGGTGTAAATGATGTAAATAATGTGGGTATCAAATTGATTCATTAAATAACTAAATATTATTAATATTTTTTCAAGATTGATTGTAAAACCTGAGGCTACTAAATGATCTAATGTAGGAAATCTTTTTTTTGTGGAAATCGCCAAACTTCTGAATACGTTTATAAATGTCAAATTAATATATCTCATCAACGTTCTCCTTATAATTCTTGGTCTCTCTTCCGTGCCATGGATATGTGTGGATATTAAAAAGGCTTTAAAATTTATATTAATCGTCGAAAATAAAATACCTAATCTATCGGGGTAAGGTATACTGATGTAGAATCTCCACCATCGACGCAAGACTGTATCAGTGTAAAATCCTAAAATAAACGCAAGTGGTACGACACCTAATAATTTTTCTGCATTTTCACCTACTTCCATAAAAACTCTAATTTGTAACCGAATAAACTTATATAAGGAGATGTCCAAAATCTTTTTTAAAAAATTCGAAAAGTTTTAAAATTTTAGATATATCGTTATGTTAAATTTAAAAAATTTCCAGAATTATATTTTGGGCATGTTTTTATTTTTATATTTAAAAAAAACTTATTCTTCTTTATCGAAAAGTTTCAAAAGTTAGCGAATCGAATTTTTTTTATATTTTGGATACAGCCTAATCAGCATTTTTCTCGCTTATTTATATCAATCATTTGATTAATGTAAAATTTTATTATTCTTTTTTATAGCATATTTAGTATAATAGCTAGCTCAAGGAATGTTCATCTGATGTAAATTTTTTGACTTTGATTGAAATATATTTAAAATAAACATAGGTAAATAAAAGCAAGGAGTAGGATTTGAAGGAAAGGATATGGGTTAGGACTCATATATTAAATTAGTTTTTAATAAAATTTATTCTTTTTATTAATTACCTGTCAAATCTGAGAGGCTATGTAATTATAAAAACCTAATAGTTAAATAAATCAGCTTTCTTGAGTTAGCTTAAATATTAAATGTAACACATTTCATATCAAATTTACTTCTTTTGGTTTTGGGATAATAGATTCACAAATATTGCATATAAAAGCACATAAAATAGGATAAAAACAGACAAACTTTTCCAGATCAGTGAATACAAGCTACCTCTCCACCTATTTTTATTTTTTTTTAATTTAAAAAACAAACTGATTTCCTTTTTATATTAAAAACAAACTGACATTAAACTTTTCAATAAAATTTCAATGAGAAATCGCATTGTTAATATAGCTTATTATAACCAGGTTAATAAATCTAAACTATGAACTTAATCTAAAGAGGGTTCTGATTCTAATATTTTTTCCAAAGTAATTTAATTTCCAGTTACAATTCCTAAAAATTTGAAAAGTGGGTTTTGTGTTATGTTTCTTAAATTTCAAACTCTGTTAAAGCAATGAGTTAAAAATAATTAATAAGAATTTTAACAATAAACCCACTTTAAAATTGCATACATTTTTAATTATATAATGCACTTTTGTTAGATCTGGTTCCCGGTAATTTTAAAATACCTGCAGGTTTCCCTAAAGGAGTTTCTAGATTTATTCCTGGTACGAGGGTTCCATGTTCTGGTTTCGATTTAAATTTAGCTTTGGTTATAAAGCGGCTTATATAATTTTTATTATATTTAACTAACATAATTTTAAAAACAATTTATATAAGCTTTAATTACCAGATATCTAATTTTAAAGTCTAAAAAATATTATAAATTAATTTTTATTTTTGTAACTTTATTTCTGATATTAAAATACATGAAAAACATGGAAAATAAGAAAAGGGAAATTGAATAGGTTATCTTCGCCGTTATTTATGTAAATCTTAGTCAACGCACTATATATGATTTAAATATATCACAAACAGGAATAAAATTTTAAAACTAAAAATTTCTCCTCTCTTATAGTAAGTATCTATTTAGTATCTGTAGCAAATAGATTTCGGCGGTTTTCCCCATTATAGAATAACTCTCTTTATCAGTCTTCATTCTATCTGTTGAGAATTGACCACTATTTTATCTACTATCGGCAGTCGCTTTTTATGCTGGATATATATTAGATTTAGGATTGAACATTTTTCATAAAGAGTGAAAGGATGGGCAAAATAAAGATTGCTGATTATAAGATAGATTCTTATATTAGCTTATGGCATTAACATAGAGGTTCTCACTAGGGAAAGATGGTCGAAAAAATATTATACAAATTAATAAATATTCGTTTAATAATCAAATATATATTCAAATATCATAAAGCTAAAAAAAAATATATGCAATGAATATAAAAAAAAATTTACTTCCATAGTACTCGAAAAAATATTAAAAAATTGCTAGATGCAAAATCAGCCGAATAAGAAACAGTCATATGGAATATGTTAACAGAATTAAAATTATTTATCGAATCAAAATTATTTCTCGAATTAAATATTCTATTAAAATTAATCTTGTTAATTTTGCTGATTTTATTTTGGTTAAATTTACTTTATGCTCTCTAACAATTATATAATTCTATTAACTAAATTATGATAAATTTTTTGGGAAGATTTAGAAATTCGATTCAAGGCTTGAAAAAAAATGAGCCTACGTGATAGATTATTGCTTTTAACGTTTTTTTTGACATTTAAGTGACTTCGGTGATAGTCAATTTATTTAAAAGTTTGCTAGAGTTGATGTTAATATTGAATGTGAATAAATAATTGTGTAAATATCAAAACATTAAAATTGGTAGTCTATTTATAAATTTTTAAATATAAGTAAAATAGACTATAAGTGTTGAAGAATTTAAAAAAGAAATACTATGTATAATTAAACTTATAAAAAAATTTATCGACTATTTGTTAATCGATCCGAGCTTATACATTGGAAGATAAAGTTTCATTATAATTTAACAACTAATAGTAGTTTTATAACAAAACATTTAAAATTATTCTAAATTTGATATATAAAAAAGTTTTTACAATAATTGAATATATGATACTGAAAGAGCAATCGTGTAGTGTGGGCAAGGATGCAAACCCGACATTTGCCCGGGTTCGGTGGGCTTAAATTAAGGTTAAAAAAAATAGGTGGGTTCGGTTCGGGCTCGGTTTAGGGAAACTTTTTAAACCTTGGTTTGGTTTCGGGTTCTCGGGTTTAAGAATTTTTGCATTGATAAAAAAAAATATACTTTATTTAAATCATAATTAAAAAACTAGACATAAATTTGGTATAAAAAATAAATTTTTTATTTTATATAGGTAAAATATAATTAAAAATACAAAGCAGTCATGTATTGATTTAAAAAATTTTATTTAGACGTATTTCTTTAAATTAACAATATCCAATATAATAATTTTTACTTTGACTTATTCACTTTCATTTTCCTCTAATTAATATTTGAGAATAAGTAAAAAATTAATAATAAATGGCGTAAATGAATTTAATTGTTTAAAATTTATTAAAAATCCAATAGGAATCTTTGAGAATAAATTTTAAAAATGGAGTAAATGAATTAAGTTGTTTAAAATTTATTAACACTTCACTTAATTGGATATTTGAAAAGATTATAAAATGTCAAGTAAATTATTAATATTTGTATTTACAATTCTCTTATATTAATTTAAATAATACACTGAACCCGGGTTCAAATAAAATTCCCGGGTTCGATATGGGGTTTTGAAAATTTTATAAATGGGGTTCGGTTCGGGTTCAATATTTTTTCCCTAAATCCGGGTTTTCTTCTCCGGATTCGGTTTGAGCCTCTGAGTGTGGGTATATGAGGCGAACTGTAATTTAAAAAAAATGGAACGAATATATATGGGGTATTATAAATAAAATCAAAATTTCAATAAAGCTCTATTCCAGGCCCCTGTATTTTAACAATCAAAAATGTTCTTGAAAATCATAATAGCCATATCATCTGCCACTCGGGCAAAACTTAGAAATGAAGATAATATAAAGAGCGATGCGATAATATCAATATTCTGGTACTGGCATATTTGAATTTTAAAAATTAATTCAAGTTAAAAAGATGAATTTTTAAAAAATAATAATCCAAAAATTTCCATACTGATAAGAAACCATAAATTTTGGTTGCAGAATAATTTTATTATACAAAATAGATTACAACTATAAGTTTCATTAATATTGAGAGGCATTTTTATGACTTAACCTTTTACCACTGTTTGTATTTTTTCTAAAAAAAATTATAAGGACTCCTTATTAGATATTATAGCTAAATGATCAAAAATTTTTTATTATTTTTATCATTGTACATGGGAATAATACCATTTATTATACATTGATATGAAATAAAACAAGCCAATTTTCACTTAAATAAATATCTCTAATCATGTTCGGATATTATTCTATCTTTAAAATATTTTTATGATCAGAATATAGTTCGAAATCATAGGAAAAGCCCCCAAACCCATAAAGAATTTATTATTTGAAGTCCAATTTATGGGGCTTTGCAAGAATATATTGTTTAAAATACATGCACGCTTTATTTGTGTAAAATTTTCTCATGGATTGACAGAATTTTATATTTGACTTTCCCTTATATTTTAGATTATTTGGTGGAATGGGTAAAAAAATTTCTCTCCTTTTTATTTTGCCTCGTTTATTAAGATATAATTCATTGAAAAATAATCTTCCTCACTAAGTCGCAATATTTCAGAAAGTTACCAACCAATGTTAAAACTAACAGATGAGGAAATCATCTTGTAACTTATGAGTTACATGTAAATAAACAAAAATTAAGAAAAAAATAAGTTACTTATTTTTGATTAGAAAAATGAAAATGAAGAATAAAATAAATGTAATTAAAAATTACCCAAAAATAACGATTTTAAAAATTAAGGAAGAGGTAACTTTGATTCTAAAATAATATTATATTTTAAAAAAATCAGTATGTGACTCATTGTTATGGAGGTCTGCATGAAAAGATAGAATATAATCATATTCAATCAAACCAGGGTTGATCAGATTTGGATAGACATTTTCTTGAATATTATTTCGTTTTCCTAATATTTTTATAACTGTTATTATCAAGAATAGGCCCCAAATTTTTTATAATACTTTAATAATTAAAAAATTATGGTGCAACTCTAATATAATAAATCAAATGAAATATTTTATTTACATAAATGGCTTTATTTACATAAATGTTGTTTAAAATTTATATTCAAAATAATTATATAATATAAATAAATAAATATGAATAAATTTAAAAAATTCTAAATAAATAATCATTGTAAATATTGTTTAAATGTATTGATTGGAGCTTCCATTATTGTAACAGTAAGCTTGTTAGAAGTAACATCGGTGATAGTTATCTTATTTAAGAGACAAGAGTCATTAAGGATTTTTTCAGTATTGATCATTTCATTTTGCTCATTATTGTTTTTATGATTACAAGAAATCCCACTATAATTATCTCTGCCATCCTTATCTGCATAATCATTTAAGATTATATTGTCATTATATATAGCATCAATTTTTTTATTTGACTTCACATTATTATTGTTATCTTCATTTTTTGTATCATATTTATCTTCTGAAATATTTTGGTCCAAATGCCTTTCTTCATATTCATATAATCTCTTAGTCTTGGGCACAATACTCTAAAATAACACAAAGAAAGATATAACATAACATCAAATAATAAAACTTTCATTGTATCCCCATTCTTGTTTCTGTTTAAAGCTTCCTTCTTTATCCTTTTGAGCCTAATATATGAATTAAATATTTATTTTAAACCTTCATTAAATTATTTTGGTCTTCGGCCCAGCTTAGGTTTTATATTTTCATGCCCAACCTAGCCCGGATTTTTTTTTAAATTTTATAGCTAATAATGGCAATTTAAAATATTTGATTTTAAAATATACTATCCCTGCTGTACATTTTTTTAGAAAAAATAAATTTTAAGTCTGGCCCAGGTATATTTAAAAAAATTAAAATATGACCCGGGCAATGTTTAGGGCCAGCCTGCACTATGATAAATATCAAGATAGTGTGAATTCAAATATTTTTTTAAGTCTATTTGATTATTTTTATTTTATTAAAATATTAGGAGCATTTACATTAGGTACATTATTGCAAACACAGACTAACTCAGCCCATCTTTAATTTTTATTTGTGTTTGCAGACCTGCCCATAAAACATCTTTGCTTAGCCTGACTCATTCAAAATTACAGCCCCTATTAAGCTGTTAGTCTTTTGTATAGGGAAAAAAAATCCATTTTTAATATAAATTTTAAACATCAGTTAAAAGTTTTAAATAAAATTTTGATTGTTATAAAAATATTAAATTCTTCTAAATTAAAAAAATTTTTGATCAGTCTTTTAGGTGACATATTATAAAAATGATTATATCGGTTAATGTTTGGGATTAACTATAATGTTCATAAAAAAATATATATTTAACTCTTTTCATTTTCTATAAAAATGAGTGGCCTTTAATAAAGTTCTCATCAGAGACCTAGTCCAGCCAAGAGTACTAAGATTTTAAAATCTAGGCCAGGCTTAAAAATAAAATAGCAATTACATATTTTTTCTATTAATCTATAGATAAAAAATATTAAATATTTAGTACATATAGTCAGTACCAGAGTTGGGCAGCACAATAAATACTAGTATCTTAGATACAATATTGCATTTATAACATTATTTTTCTTGTGGATTCTTACATTAATTTTGTTGCCTTTCTATTCATATTTAAAAATTAATATATTATTTTATATTCGAAATACCAACTTCATTTTTGTAAACAAATTGAATAGATACTCTCATCCATATTTATGATTGTTAAGATAATTATCATATTTATTTATTTTTCATTGTCCAGCATCTTAGAGTACTGGCAAATATACTAGGTGTATAGCAATATTTGGATGATTGATTATTGTATTTCTTCAAAAAAGAGAATAACAATCTTTTTATAATGTTGTCTGTTTTGTTTAGATAAATTATAATATTTTATTGGTCATTGAAATAGCATATTTTAGTTAGTTCAAAAAAAAATTGTAAACAATTTGAAAAATTTTGAGATATCTTGAGGTAAGAATTACAGAATTTGATGTTATTTATTTGATTTTATCAGCTTATTGAAACAATCAACAATAACATTACTCATATTCTTATTGATGGTTGAGTTGACCTGACATAAGTCCTAATTTATGTTGTGTAATCCTACTTGAATTTCTATCCCATGAAAAATAATGCTGCAAAATATTTCATGAAATTTAAAAAAATTAAATCCACCTAAATATCACTATTTCAAATATCTCTAATTTATTTAAGAAGTATTTAATATTTTCCTGTAAAATTTTTAAATGAATTGTAAATATATGGAGATTATACATTGAGATGACATGACTCTTCGAGTCCAAGTATTTAAAAAAAACTATATAAATAAGCTAGCAAGCCAAATTTGATTTAATAATGAAATTCTTAGATAAAAGGCTAATATATATTTAATATTCAAGTCAATATATTTTTAATATAACTTATTTAATCTATTCTAATATAAATTTTACTCTATTTCAGAAATAATGTTCACATTGATAATATTAGCAGAATTTGTTATACTCTCTAAATTCATCAATTTAATCTTATCAAAAATAGAAATTTTTAGCTCTAATCAAGCAATAAACATTGAAGAAATTTATAATGATATATTTTCAATCAATTCCATATTCAAATAATGCCTATAGAGAATTTCTAATTTAATGAAGTCTTGGCAAAAAAATCATTGTTCACATTCATTCATTCATTAGAAACTGAAATGATATTAAAGTAGAATAACATAAATTATGAAGTGTTAAGAAACTTTTAAATAAATAAATTCCTCTGATAAATATTTAGTTTATATTAAATTTTTATTATTATTTGGACTTTATAAATATGCAAAATATTCAAATAAAAATTGATGAATTCTCAATTTGAAAAAAAATATTTAATTTATATAAAATTTATTGCATTTGTTCTGCCTATATCAATTAACACTTTAATCACTAAAAATTGAAGCAAACTTTAGAATATGATAGGTCTAGTTGGGCAAATAATGATCACATTTTTTTCTAAATCAAGGGTTTAATAATTTATATTGACCTTTTTATCCATTTTATACCCAATTGAGTGGATGAATAAATAAATATTTAATAAAAAATATTTATAATATCTAAGACACTCTTTACCAATAGATACAAGTATCTTATAACTTCCATCATTTACTCAGTCACTTGTATCTGTATCTAAGATATAGTTTTTTTAGAAGGAATATGTCTTTGCCCCTTTTCCCCAACTCTGATTTATGAATATAGGGTACTTATAAAATAATGTAAACTTGTTTTTAAAATTTTTCAACAATCGCATATCTAAGATGTTGTTCTCAGGTTCCCATGTGTTAAATCTTTTCGCAATTATTAATAATTTAAGTAATTATTTATACTTATAATTCCACCCTTTCCATTTTACCAAGTATTCAGCTTTACCCTAAAAAACTATAAGATATATTATATTCAATGTTACTTTATTAATTCTTGATTTTAATATAGATTCAGCAGCATAAACTTTTTCAGAAATTTCATCATTTTGCATATTGGTTCATCAAAATGAATCTAATTTATTTTTACTTTCAAATTTCACACAATAGTATTTTGAAATAGATTGAATTGACTTAATAGAACATTTAAACATCTGACATTGATGGATGCAAAACCCAAATTTGGATATTTTATAGGAAAAGGTGAATATTGTAGTGCTATAAACGTTATCAAAAAAGAAACAAATTGGTCGTTAAAAAAAGAACGTATTACCGAATAGTACTCAATACAGCTTTTACTATGCAAAACACATATTCAAAGAGCGCATAATATGGAAAGATAGTATTATATTTAATAAATAAAATTATTATAGGAAGATTTATTAAAAATATATATTAGTATTTATTTTTTAAAAAAAATATTAGACTATCTTTACAAAAATACAGAACATCCTTAAATTTTTTTTACCTCTATCAAAATTAAATTAGGTATGTGTATTTTATTTAAATATCTTTTTTATGATTGTAAAGATCTTTTCTCAAACTAGCAGGGACGTCGCTAGCCTTTGCAAATTCAGGAGGCTCAGCTTAAAAAATTTTTATGAGGGGCTTCGACCCCCATACCCTCTAATTTGCGGGCCTTTGGCCCGCTTTTGCCCGGCCTTCGGCCGGTATATTAATATCTTATACATATTTAAAATATGCTAACTCTAGACAATTATTCTGAATTTCATATTTTGTCATTTATAATATTTTGCATACAAAATAAACTAGCATATAAATAATTAAAACAATACAAGACATTTCTAAGAATAATATTCTTTAATACAAAATCTATTTATTACAGTATAGAATATTTTCGATTGCTGATATAAAAAAATTTTACGCTAAAAATTACAAGTGATAAAAAAGGTTAATTAATTCATACATTTGCCAAGGCTATATAATTCTATCAAGTTACATTGACAAAAGGTCATGAAACTAATATAACTCTCTGTTACCATTTTAGACAATGTTTATAGAATGGATTAATAAGGAAAAATTTATAGGTCTAACCAAATCAACAATTCTTGAAGAAGAAAATATAAACGACCAATCCAAATCATAAAACTATATGGTGGCTAGAGCTTCCTCTTAGATGACATGATGGAAACAGGGTTTCCAGGTCAATATTTTCAAATTACGGGAGAAATTTAAATTTTGCGGGAGAAATATGAAAAATACGGTAAAAATAAAAAATTTGCTAAAAAAGGCCCGCAAAATCCCGGCCTGGCAGAGATTTTGAATTGATTTAATTATCCGCCTATTCTTTTTTATAATTAGTTTAAAATACAAATTCAGTAGCTATTTTTCAAAATTAAATAACATCTTGATTTATTAAAATATATTAATTTATAAAAAATAACCAACGATCCTTTTTAAATATAAAAGAATGTAAACAAGATAAAATTTTATAAAAAAAACAAACGATTTTAATATTACAATATAAAAAATATATTTTATGCGAATGTCCTGCAAAACATCCGAAATTAAATTTACCTTATATATGTATAAAATTATAGGATAAGCGCTTAATTATCACGTATCACGTTACATAATAAGTTAATATTGTACACAATGATAATTATTTTATTTATTATTGTTCAATCACATTATAATAATCAGTGCAGGAGAGTGAATCTATATACATTGCAAAGCAAAAATATTCTCCAAAAATATAATATAGATGCAAAAACGGTTGCAGCAATTGTAATCACTTATCTTGTAGTACAACATTCACAGAGCTACTTATCATACAATGTAGGTAGAATCTTTCCCCATAATATTTAACGACTCCATGATAAATGAAAACTTTACTTGTAGAACAAAAATGAGTAAGGATATCATCAATGTTTTAGAACCTGAATTCAGTAAGTCAATTCTTGACGATTTGAAAGATGGGCACACATATGCAATATTCTAACAGATGCATCTAATAAGAAAAATATGAAAATATTTCTTTTGATCCATCGTTATTTCAACAAAATTAAGGACGTTTCGAGAAAACTATTAAATTTTTTCCCTTCAAATAGTGAAAAATTCAAAGACTTAGCTAACCATATAATGGTAAATATAGCAAATTCGGGATTATTAATAAATTACATGTCAACTTTCTGATTTGATAATGCCTCAGTGAATTTGGAAAAAAACAGAGTGTATTTACAAAATTGTCAGCACAATATTGGTTGGGTTGCGATATGTTTCTAGTACCCGCCATCTATAGAATTTTAAAATTTTAGAAACCTTTAAATATTTCTTAAATAATGATTATAAAAGCTGTCCTAACATTTTGAAAAATTTTTTCAGTAATATATGGCAGAGATATATTTATGAATGATTTCACATGTAGGAAATCTACTACATACTGTTAATGTGCAGTCGCAATCAGAAGAATCTTAACAAAGATTCACAAAATTATGCTGCAGATGTGTAAATCTTTACAGTTAAAAATTGACAATAAATTTTATGGCGCTATTGCTAAAACTATTTTAAAATGTTCAAATATTTTAAAAATACCGATAGACATTTTGTCTTGTTTGAGGATATTGTAATGCTCTCTATTTTTGATTTACAATGTAAAAAATATATTTATTTTATGCGAATGTATAAATTAAAAATATGGAAATTTAAATATAATGTTAATTATATTTTATTTGAGATTTAAATAATGGAACTAAACATTTACCATCGTTATTGAGATATTTATAAAATTCCTGGCATGACATATTATAAATTTGTTTAACCATTAGCTCAGCCTCTAATGTTGTTAAAGCAATCCGTTTTCCACGCACTCCTCATCAGGCTCATATTCGTAATTTTTTTCCAAGCATGAGGATTTATTGCAGGGTTGTGCATTTGACCGGTCAAATACATTTCGGTCAATTGACCGATATTTGACCGGTCAAATATGGTCAAATTCAAATAAATGTTTTTTACACCAATATTAACTTTATTTTGCATTTATATAATATTATAATAAATCTATGTATAATAATAAATATCATAATATTTTTTAATTCATTCTATAGTCAATGTTTCACCCTCCATGGCAGAGTCTTGTTCCGATTCAATATCATTATTTTCTTTAATATTTTTAATCAATCTTAAATTATGATACACTCTTACTAATTTTCCTGCTGTAGAAGTTTTTAATCTATTTCTGTTTTTCGTGTTAATATTGCCCCAAACCGACCAATTTCTTTCAGAAGAAGAAGTCGAACTAGGAAATGTTAGTAAAATATTAGCGACTTCTTTTAATGGGCAAGGTGGGCAAAATGCATTCCACCAACTTGAGGCCGAAATTTGATTGTTTCTTATGGAAGTTACAACTTTCCACATATTATGGCTATTAAATATACCGCTTTTGCTTCTGAAATTTACTATATCAAAATATTTTGATTATCACCACCTTGTAAAATACCCAATTCTTGTATTATATTACATGCTTCATCAAATTCAGTATTAGTAAGATGCTCCCCTTGATATTGGGGGTCCAATAAATAAGCAGCATTGTGAGCACATGTATTTAGATCAGTTTTTCTCTTTTCAAACATAACCTTAATTTTTTTTTCTTGAGATGGAGAAAATATAGAATCATGGCATGATTGTATTATGTGTTTTTCCAAATTAAGCATCTCGTTTTTTACTTGGGCCAAAGTACATTTATCCCTTTGCACTTTCAACAATGAGGTAGCTAAAGGTTGGAGTATAGCTAAAAAATTTAAATTTTTCGTCCAAAATTCTTCGTTTAATATATTATTGGTTATTTCTATGGGACAAATATCACAAACAGCTTCTTCAACAACTGATGCTTTTAGAGCTTTCTTGCATATTTGAATTTGCTCCATATATTTTATTGACGATGCCCATCTTGTTTGGCTAATTGTACTTAATGTAGATGCTATGCCATGAAGATTCTTATTACGGGAAAATACTGCAGCTGGTATGTGTTTATTCGTGAAAAATTTAACAATTTTTTTAATTATTGAAATATGGTCACTGAAGGCGTTCAATCGTTTAAAATCGTGAAAGAATAACTGCAATGTATGCGCTGCACAACCATAACATTGTATATGATTATAAATAGATTCAGATTTTAGAATTTTCCAGGCTGCTTTCATGTTAGCGGCATTATCAGTAACTAAAGAATATACTTTTACCGGATTCAATTTATGAATTACATTTTTAAATTCCTGGGCAATATAATCAGCCGTATGGCGATTTTCCTCAGTATTTAGAAATTTGTAGAACACTGGTAAAGGCGTCATCACCATAAAATTAATAATACTCTCGTTTCTAATGTTGCTCCAGCCATCTGATACAATTGATAAGTGAGCTTTATCTATTATATCTGCAACTCTCACCTCCATATCACCTGACGCTTTGTCTAGAAGATATCCAGCCAGCTGCCTTCTCCGGGGTAATGTGTAAATAGGACGTATTTTTTAAAAAAATTCTTGGATGTAGGGATTTTCAGTGATGTAGAAAGGTAAATTGCTCGCATATACAGCCTTTGCAAACAATTGATCCAGCTCATTTTTTTCTTTGGGATTAATTCTATCTATGAAACCGGTTATACAAGATTGAGATTTATATTTAATCGCCTTGCTTGTAGATTGATTAGAAATAATGGAATCAAATTCTCCTGAGTCACAAGACAAAATATTGTTCATTTGATAATCATTCTCACTAATTTCACCCAATTCTTCATTAGAGTTAGACTTAGAAGTATTACAAATTACATTTGTGATTTTTTTGTAGAGGTTGATATTTTGGAATAAAATTTTTCCTTGATTATAACAGGGCACATAGTACAGCTGCTTAATAAATGTTTGACCATTCTATCAACGTGGGTGATATAGGACATCTTGCAAAACTTGCACACCGCTTTAACTGATTTACCATCGCGTACTTCTTAATGTTTCCAAACATGATGCTTTGGTTTGACCATAATCCCTAATATATTAAAATTTAACAAAAAATGATTTTGATTATTGTAAAGTTAAACAATCTTAACTATTTTATAATTATCGACCAATTATTCCAATAATTTCTTAATATTATAAATATAATATAATATATATA